TCCTCCTGCTGTGAAGTCATGACCCGCGGGCGGCCGGAACGCGGCGCAATTGCTGCCGACGAGGCCCTCACGGCCGTACGGACCTGGTCTTTCGTAAATCCGGTCAATTCGACTATTTGAGCCTGCGTGAATTTCGCGTCGGTATACAGCGTACGAATCCGCTGGCGGTCGGCCTCGTTGAGGTGCTTCGTCGTACTGCCTGTTGGCCGTACCATATTAGCAATAATTCGTCAAAAGTGAGGGTAGGTAGGTGGTGGGTGTGTACTACGTAGGAGGAAGAAATCGTAATTGGCAAAAAAGTTGGGCTGGGCCAATTAGTGGGCCCGTACTGAAATGGCGGCTTCTGGTTGGTCAACTCACTCGTGGAAGGTGGGTGTGGGTCAGCCCCGCTGGTACTTGACTAGGGGGTTAAACTTTGGCCTGATACCGTAGTAGTCTTGACATCCAGGATTCCAGACGGGTCGTAAAGCTCCCCGTCCGGCCAGTAAGCGCATGTCTTTTATCAATGTCCCGGTATCTGGTGGGCCAAGAAGATTTGAGATGCACTGCCTCGGTGGTGAATCCGTGAGATAAATGTCACATAAACTTACGCTCAACATAGGTTGCGTCGCGCCGTTGCTACTCAGAACGCTACCTCCTCGTGCACACTCGTCGAAGGCACCCCAGCAATTTGTGCCCGAGATGACCTCAAACGCCATCGTGGACGGCTTCAAAGCCGCTCTTAGTCCCAATGTAGTCATCTACTTTATTGGTTTCTATCTCGCTTACCACATCGCCATAGCCTTGTACAATATCTCGCCTTTTCATCCGCTAGCGCGTTTTCCTGGTCCCAAGATCGCAGCTGCATCTTACCTATACGAAGCGTACTTTGACTGGTGGTTGCTTGGCAGATATGGCAAGGCCATTGCACGCATGCATGAGCACTACGGTAAACTTGACGATAACCCTGGTCTGAGACGCAATTCGCTTCTGACCAACTTCAATCACAGGGCCCATTGTCAGAATAAACCCGGATGAGCTTCATGTATCTGATCCCTACTTCACCGACGAGATCTATGCTGGTCCGGGCCGTATCCGCGACAAGTGGCAACATCAACTCAATACCGGCGGTGCAGGCCCTGTCTCGGTTACCGGCTTCTCCACCGTCAACCATGAGGTTCATCGGATGCGCAAGGGCGCTTTGTCAAAGTTCTTTTCGCGTCAGCAGATGCTCAAACTTGAGGGTGAGGTGCAGGAGTTTGCTCAGCTCACGGCTGACAAAATGCTTCGCTCGGCGGGGAAGGAGCCTTTCGACGTCAAGGAGGCCTTCAATTGCTTCACTGCAGATATCATCTCTCAATATGCTTTTGGAGAGCCCATGGGTTTCATCTCGCAAGAAGGATGGGAACCCAACTTTGCTACTTGGGTGAAGTCCTTCTTCAAGAGTGCTTACATGATGAGGCACAACGCTCTTGGTCGTAAACTGGCTCAAGTGATGCCTATGATGGCTGATTACTTGGGCGAAGACATCAGGTCGATCATGAAACAGATGAATGTTGTTATTCCCGGGTATATCAAGGCGGCTTTGAGCAACCCGGAAAATGGGAGAGTTTTCGCCGATCTCATGGAATCCAAGACACTGCCCGAAGAAGAGAAATCCTTGTACCGACTTTCTGGAGAGGGCTTCAACTTCTTACTCGCCGGTACCGAGACCACTGCTGTGAGAAGGGTTTCCCTCCCATTACTTGATACATTGCTAATTTTTGATACGCAGGCTACTCTGACTGTCGTGACGTACTACCTCCTCGCCCAGCCACAGACCTATGCTCGCCTGATGGAGCAGTTACAAGGTCTCAACCCATCGAACCTAAAATGGACAGAGCTCGAACAGAAGCCTTACCTGTGGGCAGTCATTCACGAGTCTCTTCGCATGATGCCTGGGGTCTCGCACAGATCTGCCAGGATTGCCCGCGAGGAGGACCTAGTCTACAAGACTCGTGACGGGAAAAAGGAGTGGCTTATTCCCAGAGGTACCCCTATTGGCATGACATCGATGATCAACCACTGGGACGAGGAACTGTTCCCCAACCCCGGGGAGTTCACTCCTGAGCGTTGGCTGGTAGACGGCCAGCCGAACTATAAGCTGCAGAAATTCCTCCTTGCGTTCGGGAAAGGCAGTCGCTCCTGTATTGGTGAGAAGTAAGTGCTCGCTTCGAGATCAAAGCTTTCGGTTCCCGATGTTAACAGTATTTCTCAGCTTGGCATACTGCGAAGTCTACCATATGGTGGCTATGATGGCTCTTCGCGTCATCCCGAGATCAACTCTGTTTGAAACCACAGTCGAAGATATTTCTTACGACCATGATCTCATCGTGGTGCAAACAAAGAAGGGTTCAATTTCTGTCAAGATAAAGATCACCTGAGCGCTAGGCAAATCATAGCGTTGGACTTTACTGATTGTTTAGAAGTAACAACAGCAGCAATGGCTAGGGTGTGACGGTTGTCTAGCTTGTTGTCAAGTTGGGATGTTGACGCAGGGTGGAAGCTCTCAGAGGCCAACTGCAGTTAGGGGTAGAATGATGAATTACTGAAATCTACTCCTCCCTCGACGTGTACTCCCTGCGCTGTATATATATCTGAGCTGCTCCTTTGTTGCTTGGACTCCTTACTACCTCTGACTAGCCCCTATCCGGGAGGGCTCTGACACTTGTCTTGACCCAATTCAGTATTGATAGTTGAGTGCCCGGTTGAAACGCTGCATAAAAGTCGCACTGGAAATAGGCAATCATTGGTTTCACCATTTTAATTCAGCCTTCGTTCTCGTAGCTACCTGATCGTATACGGTGCTACCTCCAACCAAGTTCACACTAATCTATCGGTAACAGAGCCTTGAATGCGAACTATGAGTCGGCCTCAGGTCCAGAGCAACATAATATACTTAGTAAGAGTCCAGCTCTCCAGAGATGCACATCTTTACCGCCTCTGCAGTAACTTCGTCTAAATCCTCAACCGGAAGATTCAATGCCACATTCGCCAACCCGTGCTTGTGTTCGACGTCACCGTCAGTCGGGGAGAAGAAGATACGCGAGTACATCATTCGCGAAAACCCATTTCTATCGCCAGATCTCAGTGCCTCGTAGCCAGCCTCCCACCTCTTCTTCGAGCTCTCGCGCTTGATTTCCCAGTCCTCGTCCGTTGTGCCTGTGACCCGCTTCATACTTTCGAACATGTCTCGTTGAGACACCAAGAAACTAGAGACGTAGAACACATCGTTCGCCCAGTTCTGGATGTTGGGAGACTTATCATCCTTGTCATCAGGCAGCCACTTGAGGTTCAAGAAAGCGGCCAGCCCGCGGCCACACTGAGACCAAGTAGAAGTGTTGATTTTGACATCGCCCTCGTCGAATAGGGTCAGTGACTTGTTTCTGATGTCGAATCCGTACCGATTAGGCGAGCCGGCCACGCTGAACTCGTACCAGAATCCACAAGACATGATGATCCATTCGCTGACCCCAAGGCGCTCAATCTCCTTGACTGCTCCTTGAAATGAAGAGCCAAGAAGAGTGTCTTTCATCATCTCGTCATTCTTCGGATCCGGACCCCACGCATTCGGCATCACGTAGGGGACGCCAGCTTTTGCCGCAGCCTGTACGAGTTTGTTTTGAGTCTCCTGGCCGACGGTGGACTTCATAGTGATGATCAAGTATTGCTGTCCTGTTAGAGCCTCCACAATCGAGCTCTCGTCGTCGTAGTTGACCTTTGCAGCAATGACACCGTCCGGGAATTTGGAATTGCTGTCATGTCGGGTAATTGCGGTAACTGTGTGCCTTCCGCCTTTGAGTAGTCCCAGGGCTACGAACTTTCCCATTGTGCCAGCAGCCTTGAAGGTGTCAGTCTTCTTTCTAATGAACAGCTTAGGTCTCAGGATTCGGTTCAGGAAGTACTTACACCGACAATGGCAACTTTCTCGATGCGATTTACAAAGCCTTCCGGCTGGTCCTTGGAGAATTGAAGAGTCTTGGGGGCCATTGTGCAAAGTTAATCTGAGGAATGATATGATAGATGATTGGTAGGTAGAGGGACAATGATAGCTTTTACTCAAGGTAGTTGGGTTTGATATTGTTTTGATACCAGTAAGACAGCTTAGATAAAATCCGATCAAGTGAATGGCATGATGGCTTTTATACCTTTTCCTTCAATGTCTGGAAAAGCTTGCATTCTTAAATCAAGAAGGAAGGTACTTCTGTATTCAAGACCCATCGTTGTGGATCATCATCGTAAGACAACGAACGAGTGCATCGCGAGGCGAATGAGACTGAGCGCTAGACTCGGATTTACAGGCACACTAGGCGTAAATACGCTTCGCCGTGTTGTATGAGATTTCAGAAGGAAAAAGTCTTTCAATTGCAGGCAACGTCAGTGCACTTTTCACGCTAGCTTCCAATCGTATTCTATGGACTATGATCTGTTGGCCGTGCCGGTACTAAGCAATCCAAATGCGCTAAACATCTTGGAACATTAGATCAGATTCGACTCTCTTAACGCGTTTATCCGTCAATGGCGCTTGCATCGCATTAGCGTTGTGAGATTGGCGTAAGTCCGTTAGGTGTAGCCAAGAGTCGGAAACTTGAGTTTCCTTATTGGGAAATCTCAGCTCCGACGCTTGGCCATCGGGCGGTGTTTACCCCACTGAGATCATGGACAGTCACAGATATTGATGCATTACTTCCCATTTTAGACGTCAGAGTATCCGTTTTAGGCAGTCTGCTCTCATATCTGCAGCTTCTTAATTCCGCCATGGTGCCATCTTCCTCTTTGCGCCAAGCCAGGCTCCGCGCCGTGATCACCGAGTGTCCGTGGCCTTGGCATTCTCCACACTCACGACGTCGAAGACTGTTGCGCGGAAGACGTGAGGCTGATAAGATGTAGTACTGACGACCCGTCGCATTGTGATTTAGAAGTATCTCATTTTACAAGACCCAAGTATTTACACGGCGCCTCGTATAGATAGGATTAGCAGGCAATGTCGCCCTAGAGTATGTGCAGTTTGATATCTACAATGGTTTTACAACACATTTGCCAAGCCATACACAGCCAGGCTTGGTGACAATGTATTTACAGGAATAGAAAGCCATAGACAACAAAGAGCTTGTGGCTTTGAGAAAGAATGTCGGCTTATTCGGTCAAGTTGTCCTCCGCGATAGTGATGGAGTCGATGGTCCAGGTGATGCCGTTGTCCTTCGTCTGCCATTCCGTGTGGGTAGCGTTGGTGTAAGAGATGATGTCGGCCAAGTTGGCAACAGCCTTGTCGAAAACAAGGGTGATGTTGGTGTACTTGTAAGCTGGGAGAGTGCCGCAGCCATTGCCGTAGCACTCGTTGCCAGAGTAGAAGACGGCAGGTCTCATGCCCTTTGCTGTGACGGATTGTCAGCACGTGTCTTCAAGGTTGAAATGGCCGAAACTTACAGTCAGACTCGGAGGAAATGAGGTCTCCGTTCTGCCAGATCTTCTGGTCGATCAAGTCGGTGGAGGAGTTGAGAGAAACTACCATATTGTTAGCAAACTTGCCTCGCAATCGCGTCGGGCATGGCAAACATACTCTCAAACTCAAGAGTGGCCTCCTTGTTGTTTACCCCATCGGCAAGACTGTTCGCGTTAATCGTTGGTTTTTCTAGGAAGAGTGAAGTCGCCTGAGATCAGATCAGCCAGGTCTGTGATCAAATCCTCGATGTCCTGAAGACAAACTTCCCATCCACGAGTTTTGAAGACTTGCGAACAGTTATGTGTAAGTTACGACATTCTTGACGCCGGCTATAACCAATGAATTATGAGCCTACGTCTACCTTGCCCAATGTAGAACAAGGTAGACAAGACCGATGAGAGTTTGTCTTCTCAAAGGCGGTCCTGACTTGACAAATGGACACAGAGCTAGCTATCGTAGTGATAGTCGCATAGGGCATCGCGATACTGGGGAAGAGCTCACAGTCTCATGGTTTTGATACACCACTGAATTTGAGAGCGATAGACCCGCGCCTCGAGGTTAATAACGAACTCGTTGATGGTTGTAGCTCTACTTCTCGACGTGCCCATCCTGATATTTAGTTCTGGGGATTGAGGGGACCACTAGATGATGATAGATACGGCAAGGAGGCACAATGCGAGCAAAACTTTGGTCGTTGTCGCAGTCGATCGCCAGTTCCCACATGATTAACGTCATCACAAGAGATCCTTGGCCATTTCGAGGACCGGGTGCTACGACCAAGGGGCATGCACCTGTAGTTAACGCACAGTTTTTTTTTGGCAAATGTGTGGTCCTTCATTGCGTCTGTATTGGCTGATTAATATGATGAATTTATGTGTCGCTGGAAACGAAAGAGCTCAAGCTTTGCTGCATCGTTAATGATCCTGGATGCTCTCAACCACTCTTTGGTCCATCCAAGGGGCTAACAGTTGGGTCCCAGCAGACCGGGGAGTACTCGTCTGTCTCCAAGTTCTTGACATCCTCGTCCGACAGCTGGAAGTCGTAAATCTTGGTGTTATCCAGGATACGGGTGGGCGTAACACTCTTGGGGAGAGGGATGTAGCCTTTCTGCAAGCTCCAGCGCAGCAGAATCTGAGCCTCAGACTTGCCGTGCTTGTCGGCCAAGGCCTTGAGAGTCTTGTCGCCCCATCTCTCACCTCTGACCAGAGGGCTATAGGCCTCAATAGCGACGTTGCGCTTCTGGAGCCACTGCACTATGTCGTTGCGCGCGCACCAGGGATGGATTTCGTACTGTGCGACGTTGATGGCGCCGCCCTTGCCTTTGCCGCCGCGCTCCTCCTCAAGCTCTTTGATGTGCGTCTCGAGCTCGTCCAGGTGGTGCACGCCGTAGTTGCTGACGCCAATGGACTTGACTAGGCCAGCCTCTTGGGCCTCGACGAGTGCCTTCCAAGCACCTTTGCGACCCTCTGAGCCGCCATAGGGGCAGTGAAGCAGCATCAGGTTGATGTAAGCAAGGCCGGTCTTTTCCAGAGTCTCTTCTACCTGGTCCTTGGCGTCGTCGTAGTTGATGTAGCGAACCTTGGAGGTGAAGAAGAGTTCGGAGCGGGGGATGTCCTTGGCACCGCGGATGGCAGCTCCGGCACCAGCCTCGTTTCTGTATGAAGCCGCCGAGTCGACCTTGGAGGGTAGTCAGGAGGTGATGTAAATCGAAGCTTACGACGTGGAACTCACATGGCGGTAGCCGACTTTGAGAGCTTCGGTAGTGACCTCTTCAGCTTCCTCGGGCGCACTATCAATTTGTGTTGGCAACGTCGGTGGTTATCATTTAGTTCTCGTTCTACTTACGTCTTCCAGAGCTATGTGAATGTCAGCAATAAGGTCACGATAATCGCGCAAGGAGAAGGGAGTCGCACGCCATATCCCAGCACGGGGATCTCGAGGCCGTTGTTCAGCTTCTGCTTGGACTGAAGTGTGAGTGCGGACGCCATGGTGCGGAATATGTGCGCGGAGAAAGTAATGGGGTGATTGAGTTTGGGCTTTTGAAGATGAGAAGAGTTGAAGAAACCAGATGAGCTGGCCGAGAGCACTTGCAATCGCGATTTGGGAAACCTCGTCCCGAATGAGGCCATTAGTCATTCCGGTCCGGGATAAGATGAGGAGAGATCCCCCGCCATTTGCATATCGGCTGCATGTTCGGTGTTGTTATGCCGAGCTGTTGCGCGCTGCCGGAGGCTCCTGTTCACTGGATCACGAATCGCGTTAGGTTTCCATTCACTCCAGGTCGGGCTGTTTAGTGAGCACAGGCAGTGGCCCAGGTACCCGACGTCATGAGTCTAGCCCGGAAAGGAGGGGGAGGGGCAGCGGGCAGCAGAGCACTGATTACCCCGCCATCGATGCCCCTCCATCGCTAGGTACCTTTTGCTGCCTGTGCTGTTCCATGGTATTCAATACAGATGCACTGGTTCACCCAAACGTGTTTGATGGCTTAATCTGTTTTTGTATTCCCTGCTTCTATGCAATCTTTTCCCAAGACGCACCTTTTTGGATATCATGAACTCATATATATGCGCATTTGACTCAGATGATCGACTCGCCTCCAGCTTCACCGCTAGCCGCAGCACCATCCTCGTCCTCGTCATCATCCAGGTCGTGGATGGGGTAGGACAGAATGGCGGCAACGCTTCCCAGCATGTCCAGCCGCTTGCCGCTCTCGTGGTCACTGCTGAGAATCCTGACATCGCCACCGTCCGCCTTGACCTTGTCCACCATGGCCACGTACTTTTTCCTCGTAGGAATGTCAGAACTGCGGAATAGCGAGTTGTTCATGATAAGGACGCCGCCACCAGGGCCGATGGCACCTTCGTTGACCGCTTTTGCCACTGATGTTGTCCCGTACCATGCCCTTCCGTCTTCCAGGCGGAGTCTTTCGAAGAACTGATCCATCAATTTCGTCTCCTTGGTGAACTTGAAGTCCTTGAGCTTGTTGCCCATCTCAGGGCTCTTGAGAACCTCGTTGAGACTGTGCACGTGGCCCGAATTTGTGTGAATGACGACTGCCTCCCTAGCTATTCCTAACAGCTTCTTGTCCGACTTGTCTCTTCCTTCGTCCGCAATATACTTTTTGAAATCGGCTGCGGTGAATCCGGGACTGGCCAGTAGTAGAGGCCTCGGGTTGTTAAAGTTGACGGTTCGAAGAAGGGCGGTCAGCGTCTTTTCGAAGAAGCGGGTCATGCCCTGGGAGGATTCGGTTGCGGCGCTTCGTTTTTTGGGTATAACGCTCTCGATGCGCTGTTTGACGACGGTGCGGAATTGGCTTATGAGACAAATGTTCGAGATGCCCTCCTGCATGACGACGGCAGCCATGGCGCCATCTTTGTCGTCCGACAGACTATCTGATAATGTGTCTTTCGCGACCGAGTCCCAGCCCTGCGGCTTGCTTAACGTGAAGGGGCGAGCGACCTCGAGGTCTAGCGTGTGGTATTGGCCCATACTGACGTAGGCATTCTCCGACTTGACTATGCCGCTGACCTGGAGCTGGCCGACAATAGGGTCGAAGAATGTGCTCTTAACTTGGATCGCAAGGACGGTGTGGACTCGTTCGGAAACGGTGCTGCCGGTCTTCGTTTCGGCGACGACCTTTCTCACGGCATGCGCCATGACGAGGTCGCCGGGGGTGATGAGGTTGTAGGCATGCCACTGTTGTGCTGTCAGCCGGACTGAACTGGTCTGTTGGGAATAGAATCCCGTCGCATGGCGTCGCATCGCGAGGCGGCGCATCAGGCGATAGGGCAGAGTGGATTAGGTTGCCTACCATGTCCTCAGAATCTTCGGGCATAAGAGTAACTGCATCTTCGGCAATATTTTGCGACGGCTTGGTAGGAACGAGCTTCATCTTGTAAGAGAAAGTGCTGTAGAAGCACGCGGTGGTGGGAAGAAATTGAAGTTGCGACGAGGGTCGAGGATGGATGTTTGAAAATATCTCGACGCAGATTGGTAGACTGGATTGCCTCTGGGCTCTGACTGCTGGAGAAGGGAGTGCACTGCGCATCACTTTAGGCCGTCACTGCGCTGTATCTCCGAAAGTGACGCCAGAAGCGCTTGACGGGGAACCTCGAGTACCTACAGTGGGGTGTCAAAAGTTTCCATACACCCACTAATCCCCCAACCCCCCGCGTTATCACCACCACATTGCTCCTAGCCATAAAACTGCCAAATTTTTTATTTATATAACTAGTTAAGTCTAGATATATTTATAAAACATCTGTAGCTTTTAACTTATATCTATTGAGATACTAATATTTATTTCTTATATTATAGAGTACTAGTTTTAGGGTACTAATTAGGTATAAGTTTTAGAATTTTAGTAAATATTCTAAGTGTTTAAAAGAAAAATGGTATTAAAAGAAAGACGTATCAGACGCATATATAGATGGGGTGTATGGAAACTTTTGACACCCCACTGTAAGTACTCCACCAAAGGTACATATCTCCGATTATTTTCTTATCGTTATCTCTATCGCTATCGGAGACAGGTCCGATAACAATCCTCGCCTTTTCAGAGCCTCCATCGTTTACCTTAAGGTTAGGTTACCTTAGGTGCTTGGGACCACGTGAAAAGCCGAAAAGGAACACAATTGGGTTTGGGTCTTCCCTTCATGATCCCGGAAGTTTGGGGGACATTCTGCTCCAAATTCAGTCTCGGCCGGGTGCTCAAGGTTCCCTCCTGTTGTGAAATTTGAACACTGGACGAATCCCCGACGCCTCAGAAGAGTCGGAGCTGCCACTTGCCTCATTGCCAGCCGAAATGCTCAGGTACTTTTGCTTGAAGCGTCGCCGAGGTCAACGTCACTTGCGAGGAAGACTCGTCTGAAGTCTTTGATTTTAGCAAATCGCCCTGAAGACCGTTGATAGTTTTACGTCGCAGAATCTTTGGTCCCCCAAAACCCTCCAAAAGGGTATCAATCCAAACCCCCGTGCGGCTCAGATGGGTCAAATGACGGCTGGTGCTACGGTGCGTGCCCTGCCCATCGCCGCCCGGCTTGGGCTTCCAAGTTGAGTTCCGGGCAACAGTCGGGCGAGTGTAGATCGACGTCATAGGTCCCGTCATCGTTGTGACACCCTACCATTTCCCAAAGACCTTGTTTTATTCATACTCTGCATAACAGCTTATTGCTTCATGGCCTTTTCTCAAAAATCGCCATTTCCAACTTGCCGGCGCAGAATTGAAAGGCGGGGAGGTTTGTGGGGAAGCGATAAAGAGTGCACAAGTGTGTCGGCTCCTTGTCACTGTGGAAAACAAACTAGACTGTCTAAACTTTACACCCAAACGCCATGTTTGGAGTCTGGATGGATTAGATGTCGCATGGTTGGCTGGAAGCCTTACCAGAGTTGGATTTGGGCTCTATCCGTAGCCTTGAGGAGAAGCAAACCATGGCTAGCTGCAGCCCTCCAAAGTGCCACGATCAAAGGTTGCTGGGTGGGCCGCGGCATTCCGCATTCACAACACAGTGACACACAGCCTTGACTTTAGAGGGTGATGATTCAATGTGCCCCTGGTTACTGAGGAGGAGAAGCGAGGAGGAGCTGCTGGTGGCGATCGTCCAGTGTTGGCGTCAGCAAGCAGGCGATCCAGTTCCGAGTTCCAGTCTGGGCAGTGTTATTTTGTGTGTGTCGTCTTGAGTTTCGCCTTGTGCTACCTTATGGGACAGACGGGAATCAGTGCTGTCTCCGATTTCCCTCGCAATCGTTTCTTACATCTGACGCCGACCTGCTGTTTTCGGCGCGCCTTCCCTCCTCTCACTTACGGTCCACTCTTCCTTCCTCCTTCCAAGGTTTTGTCCACTTCGTACATTTCCCTGCTCATCCTTTCTGCCGGCTTCTATTTTCGAGACAACATTCTTCTATATCATCTTTGCGCACTCCATAAAGAGAAATCATCGCCAGCATAAACATCGTCATCTCCGCTTCGACTGTCAACTGCGCGCAAACTCAATCGCCAATTGCCTCGTGCCTCGGCTCGGTATTCATTACTCCAGGCTCTTATTTTTGCTCTTCGATCTGGCCAGGGTACGGTTAGATCTGGGCCAGTCTCATCTTCCCCGACTCGTTGCGCCAGAAAAAGAAACGCGACCGTTTCTGCGTTCCTGTTCCCCCACACTCTGCCCTCTTCGAAGCCGGTGTATCCTGGACATCTGCAAGGGAAGCTGTGCGGATCCAGCCGAGAATTTACGGATACATACGTACAGCTTTGTCTTTCTTGATTACTTTACTGCGTATCCCTCCGAGTACAGATACGTTCCATAGCCTTGCGGTAAGATTACCAAGCAAACCCGACTCGCCGCAAAAGGCAACTAGCAGGCTCTGGAATTGCTTACCGACCACCACTAGCCATCACAGGCTACAGGTGCATATATTACCTGTTCTGAGTTCATCAAAGAAAGGGTGGAAACGCGGGCTGCGTGGGTGCCTTGCTTTAGCATACGGAATACGCGGACTGGACGAATCCGAACCTGCGTAATACGTACCCAGTCTCCCAACCACCGAAAACACCACCACCGACCGCGTTCGACCAACGACGGTCGAGCGAGCGGGCGCCGTTTCTCTTCGGGAGAAAACCTCGCGCCGCGCCCAGGACAAAGTCCGCTTCTTCTCGTTTCCAAAGAAAAAATTTCGTATCGGGAACGACGGGGTCCAGGAGAGCGACGTTCCTAGTAGACAGATCACACTGCTCCAATCCCATTCGTGAAGCTCGGGTGTCTCGGATCGCTCGTATTACTACATCTTGAACCACTCAACCACCCACCGACGACCAGCACACCTCGAATTCAGGCCCACGACCTACTCAGCTTACCCGCGCTTACCTCTCGCGCCCACCAACGGCCCAAGTGTCTTAATTCTGTACGCATCTGTCTCCCTTGTCGGTCTTCGCATGATGGGAAATGTCGACCCCTACATCTGCCATAAAGTCCATGGACGCCGGCCGTCGCGAAGATGGCCAGGCACCACCACTACCGCCCCCGGCGCCCGTTTCTGAATCCCGTCTCTCGACTCCCCTCAGCCGTGAAGGCTCCTCGACTGCCCAGAAGTCACCTGGCGGTTCAGAGTCTCAAGGTACGTAAAGATATGCGGATCTGCCATGCACTGGGGCCACCGAGAAGCTCCTCATCTCTTCAAAATTGAGACTGGGGACCATAATCGAACCTGTGTGGCGCACACGGTGGATGCTAATCGTTGCATAGGCAGCAGTTTTCCGACCTTTGCCAAGAAGACGCCCACGAAGCTCGTCCGGAGTACGACACCGAACGCAAAGGACGGCAAGGCCGAGAAGCCCTCGCCAGCCGCCGCCGTCCAATCTCCTGCTGCAATCGACCCGCTATCACAGGTTAGTTGCCGCCGTTGGCATGGCCGTAGGGTAGGCTTTTCGTTGCTTACCTTCCACAGCACATCCTGATGCGAACCAACACCGGCCATACTGTTCCTCCTCAGCTTCGCAAACGCCCCGACAGTCCGACTCCGGATCCAGAGCAGCCGACGAAGCTTCCTGCGCATGCATTCGATGCCACCAAGGACAAAAAGTGCGCACTCTCGTGTCCCCCAATTCATGCCAATGGTACTGACCATTTCTAGGAAAGGGCCGTCGTTCCTAAGTCGATTGAGTATGCGAGGTGGACGAAGACGCGAGGACGACGAGGAGTCTGTCTTTAGTGACCACCGAATCGATGGGACCAATGCCCAGGCCTTTGGTTCAGTCATCGGGTCCGGCTACATACCTCACCACAAGGAACCTCCACGGTACATCCGGGTCAAGGCACACAGCAAAAAGATTCGCGAATTCAACCGCATGTTCCTTGCCCAAGAACTATTCATTCCGCAGCCCGACTCGAAAGACGACAAAAATACGCCAATAAAAGCGTCGACGGACACTCGACGATCGAATACAACCGGAGCTATCTGGGCCACGGAATTCAGCACTGATGGCAGGTACTTTGCTGCTGCGGGGAAAGATCAAGTTGTGAGAGTATGGGCTGTGATAACAACGCATGAGGAGCGGCGCCGTCATGAGGAGGAGGAAAATGCGAATGGGGCCAGCGGAGAAAGGTTGAGTGCGCCTGTCTTTCGAAGCAAGCCGATTCATGAGTTCCGAGGGCATACCGGCGAAGTACTGGACCTCAGCTGGAGCAAGAACAACTTTCTGTTGTCGTCATCGATGGACAAGACTGTTCGCCTATGGCACATCAGCAGGAAAGAATGTCTCTGCACGTTCAAGCACAAGGACTTTGTCACATCGATAGCGTTTCATCCTACCGACGACCGGTTCTTCCTTGCGGGATCCCTCGACTCAACACTGCGTCTTTGGAGCATTCCAGACAAAGCTGTGGCTTACTCCGCTCAATTATCAGATCTCATCACAGCTGTGGCATTCTCGCCTGACGGGAAGACTGCAATAGCTGGGGGACTCTCCGGCATGTGCATGTTCCACGACACGGAGGGTCTCAAACAGAGCTCCCAGTTGCATGTGCGATCGTCGAGAGGCAAGAATGCCAAGGGCAGCAAGATTACTGGCATTAAGACGATGGTCATTGAAGACGAAGTCAAGGTTTTGATCACATCCAACGACTCAAGAGTGCGCATCTATAATCTGCGCGACAAGAGCCTGGAATCCAAGTTCAAGGGCTACGAAAATACCTGCAGTCAAATCCATGCCGACTTCAGCGACAACGGACAGTGGATTGTGTCTGGCAGCGAAGACAAGAGAACGTACATCTGGTCTGTGAATGCCGCAGAATCGGACAAGGAGAAGCCTTGCGAATACTTCGATGCGCACTCAGATCGAGTTTCAACAGCAATATTTGCGCCGACCAAATCGCGCCAGCTTCTTGGTGGCTCGGGAGATCCCCTTTACGACCTTTGTAATCCGCCCCCCGTAACTCTGATGAGTCTTGAGGAGTCCATCGCCAGCCAAACAGGTAACTCGGACGACGAGAAACCTCAGGTTAAGCAGCAGAAGATCAAGAGACCGGAAGAATCACCTGCTTATATTGAGAAGTCGAAACACTTTGATGGGCAAATTCTCGTCACCACGGACCAATCTGGGGGCATCAAGGTCTTCCGCCAGGACTGTGCATATATCAAACGCCGCCATGAGAACTGGGAGACGGGCTCAACATTCTCCCGGCGCATGGGCGGAAGCATTGTTGGAGTTGGACGCAGCGGAAGTGTAGCAACACGCACAAGCGTCGGCAGTCAACCGCGCTCACGCCGAGGTTCGGTTTCCCGTCTGGCAGCCCCTGGGGGCACTCAGCTGAGTTCCGACATCAATACGTGGCGGCAAGGGATCGAAAGTGGGCACCCGAGCTCCATGGTCATTACAGCGTCTCAAAGTCCACGGTCTCTATCACCTAGCAAAGCGTCACGGACATCAATTAACAACAGTGCCTCCAACCTTGCATCAGAAGCGCGAAAAAAACCGTACAGTGGATCGTCACCACCGGTACGTCCGCAACTTCCAGCTAGTCCCACATCGAGCCGGGCTTCCCGCGACCGGGCTCCGTCCATTCCTCCGACCCCGAGTTTCTCTTTCCGATCCGCCGACGATGACGAAAGCGACGAGCTCCTACTTGACCCTGCCGGCGCTAGCTATTCTTTCTGGAATCTCAATCGATGGCGAGGGATCTCATCGTTGCGATCATCAGTGTCCTTCAGTAACGTCAACACATCGCAATCGCAGGTTGGCCAGGGGCGAAACAGCATGAGCACAGCAGACACAATGCAAACATCGGCTAGTAATGGAACCAAAGCATCCCGCCGCAAGAGCTTAGGGGCGGGCATTTACGATTTGGCCGTGGAGGAGGAGCACAAAGGCACAACGAAGAGCATTGAGGATGCTGCAGATAAGGCTGAGGCGGATGAACATCTACTACAACCAGACGACTCGAGGATCGAGAGTCGTCTCCGAAACTCGGTTGTCAGCCGTCTAAGCTCCGAGTACACCAGCGAGGACGGTGAGCAAATATCTTGTCAAAAGTGTGCGAGCAAGGATTTCAAAGCGAAGAGAGTTGGCGGCAGACAACGTCTCATCTGCGTCAAATGCGGTAAGCTTGCCGAGGACGGCAGGTAGAGACGGGGGAGAAACACGAGAGGAGTTTGCCTAACGACAGAAGGTCCTTGGGGTTTGTTTTTATCTTTTCCATTTTCTTTTCGACAGCGATGGGTTTCACCGTTTGGGCACGATACGACGAGGCGCATCTATCATGATCAAGAACACCAGATACCCCACACAATAACGGCTGCAAAGAGATTATCGAAGATGACGGTATATATCTTCATTGTCCTACCTTTTTTTTTTTTCATACATACAGACCAGCGAGTCTAGGGGTTTCAGTTGGGTAGCATTTTCTGGGCGGCCAAACAAAGCAACAAAGCGGCGCAAGGGAGGGATTAAGGGCATGAAAAGTTTAGAGATTTACAATGAAACAAATCTGATATTTTTCGCTACACTATAACCAAAAGTTCACCACGTCCTCCAACTCCATATACATAGCGACGCGATAGCCGCGGTATGAGTGTGCTCGAAATGTTGAGAAACGCGACGGCGGCAATCACCCCCTCAAGGACATTTTCCAGTCCGACCTCGGGCCCGTGTTGCCGCCGAGGGTGTAGCCGCCAGAGACAGTGGAACCATCATCAGGCTTGACGTCCTTCTCGGCGGCTGCGGCGGCTTCCTTCTTCTTCCTCTCGGCCTCGGCCTTCTGCGCGGCCTTCTTCCTGGCCAGCCCACCCAGCTCCTGAACGGTGGTCTGCAAGCTCCTGGGATCGGCGCCGCGGATGACGCTCCGTCCGCCGTTGTAGGGCTGGCCGTTTTCAAAGAACATGAAGGTCGGCATCGCAGTCACGCCATAGCGTCGGGCGATATCCTGAGCGGAGTCGACATTTACTTTAAGAAAGACGAGGGAGCCTGGCTGGCCGTGGGTGTTTGAGAGGGATTCGTATATCGGTTTGATGGCGTGGCAGGGGCCGCACCAGTCTGCGTAGAAGTCGGCGACGAGGTATGTGTTTGATGAGAGGAGGTTTGTGAACTCTGTGAGATTTGTTGCGTGGAGGACGACCATTTTGGCAGCTTGGGTATGTGAGTGAGTGTCTTGTGTCGTGGAACGAGATGAGGGTTGGGTGTCGCTATTTATCGCAAAGTGATTGAGAAATAACTTGTTTTGTGTACTTCTCCCGTTACCAATGAGCTGTTGTATGTGAATTTGTATAGAGCTGCTTTCGCCACACGAATGAAGTGAACTCACGAGCGAGAGTGAGAGTGAGTGAGGGCATTCGTCAGCGACGGTAGTGATCTCGTCAGCTTCTCTTTCCAGCGGTAAATGTGGGGTCAGCGGCCGAGGAACCTTCCAGGTGCTCCGGGGCACAGGAGCGGCCACCTTCGTTTGATCGTTGGGGGACGGGAACCTAACACTAAGGTAGGTAATTTCGGTCATTGGCTGTGCCCCGCGCTGTCCACCTCCACCTCAGTCAAAGGCACTCGAGAACTCCACACCCGCCGCTGCAACCAATTTGTCACTATCGCATCTCTTGCACCTTGCACCTTGCACCTAAAGCACCTTGCCCATTGGATCGACGGCTCTCCCAGGGCGGCCTGCTGCATGTGCTCCAGATCGCTGGCCCATCTGTCTAGCAATGCAGGCCGCCGAATCGGTGTCTTCTGCATGGTTTCCGAGTCACTGGATCCTGATAACTTCTTGTTCGCTCCAAGCGACATTCCGTTATCTGTGCCGAACAACACTTAATTGGCACTCAAAAGGCCGTATTTTGGTCCATGTGAGTAAGTTGCAACTGGTGTAGTTCTCATTGCGATGATGTTCAGAATCTTTTCATTTCCATCCTTCGTTGATGTCTTGCCGATCAATCTCAATCAACACCATCGTTCTTTTGGTCGCCCCATGTTTACTGCTATTGTTGGCCTCGATGTCACTGATTTCAACTTCAGACTTCACGAGCTCTGCCAAGTTGGCGCTCATTTGCGAGGTGACTTTGCCGTACCGTATATCCTTCCAGGGTAAAGAGCACCAAAGTCTACTATCTTACCGTCTCTTCAATCAGCAAGCGCACACAGCCTCGGGCCAAGGTGGGCATCGCATCTTAGCACTCCCCATATATGTGATGAGGGAAGCTCACGATCTCGCGAAACGCCCACGCCACTAGCGGCCGGCCATCGTGGAGTGACGGCAACACACGGTATCAGGGGACTCTACCAACACCCTTGGCTCGCAGAATAGAATGTGTGTCTGCCCTCGGCGGCTCTTTTGGACAAATTGTCTAGGATCTTTGAGTCCATTAACCAACAGCCCCTCATTCAACCTTTGACATTGCGTCAGATGACCCCATTAGGTGTCTCGCACAGTCGCAATCCCCCAGACCTCCTCAAAGCGCCCGTCGCCCCCTTACTCCCAACTCGATCCACGGCTCTCGCCGCCCCTCCACGTTGATCCTTCACACCTCCACGATCTTTACCGGCGCCTAGTTCAGCGCGAAAGGCTCTTGGGAGGCCATGTTCCCCTTCCAAGGATGTCGGGGATATCTCATGTGGTGTCGGCCATCTTTGGTCTAGTCTTGTACCGACCCTGCAGACTCTCTGACCTTATCGAGGTTGATCTTGCCCCTAGAAGACCAGGCTGCCTCCAGAAGGCTCGAAGCGCCTTGGGCTGACAGCCAACCCTCATGCAGAAACAAGTAAGATGTGTGTAGTCTGGCCTTGTTTGGCCCCCAACCTCCACGGCTCGATGTTGAGTTGAGCCTCAGGGGTAGTTGCTCCTCTTATCCTCACCGTTTCAAATAGCTAGCAGCTATTCTTGAATAGCATCAAGCGCTAGCCATGAGCGTCTCGCCGGACCATGAAGTGGCATCGGTCGATACTAGCCTGTGGCTGCCTTCTCTTGGCTCACCTTCGACGCGATTACAAGGTACTGTATCTCAAGTTTCAGGGGCAGTATGTATCACGTCGAACGGGACGGTCGTCTAAGTGGTGATATTGTCGAGAAGGCTGTTGGAACGGCCGCGAGATCGGTGAAGTTGGCCGACGTGAGTCGGAACAGGCGCATTGGCAAGCTCAATGAGCGATAGACATATCCCAAACCGCCCAAGACTGTATGGATCTTACATGGTACTCACTTGAGACGTTGGATATAAGACATCGTCCCGTGTTTCTCGAGTGAGAGCGCGAAGATAGCAAGCCCTTTCCTTTTCTTTTTCCTATACCAAGTCTCGTGCTCCAACATCGTCGTTGTACACAACCTCATCCAAGATGTCCAACTACCAGGCCCTCAACTTTGGTTTCGAGCTTGAGTTATCTCTCAACAGCAGCAAGAAGCACAAGAACTGGTTGTCCATGGCACAAGACACCAGCAGTCGCTTAGCCAAGAAAGGAGTCAGCAATCATGTCAAGGAAAAGGTGGATGGGAACTACCGCAAGTGGTCCATTGTTCAGGAGATTACGATCCCTCAAAATCCTGCCAAGAACAACTGTCAGTATATCAAATCACGCAACAAAGCCTAGATACTGATGTTGAGCCAACTCAGGGGCACTTGAACTAGTTTCCCCCGTCTTCAGCCTCGAGTCTCAGTGGCTCTCCGATGCAGATAACATCTTCTCTGCTGTTCAGAAGCACTCGTCCGTTCAGATGCTACCCCAGTGCAGCACTCACGTACACGTCAGCCAGGCGGACCAGGAGTTCTCGTCGTTCCAACTGGCCTCTTTGGGCAAGGCAATTCTGACGTATGAGCCTTGCTTCGATGCCCTCGTCCCCAAGGACAGAGCTTCCGCCTACTGGTGCCAAAGTAACCGCCGGAACCCGGTGCTGTCTCGGTGCCAGACCCTCGAAGACTGTCTCGATATCCTTGACGTGGCGGCTCAACGGGGGACAACCGCCGTGGTTGAAGCAATGTGCCTCTTCCCGGCATCCAGTGCGTATGGAAGAGCACACGGAAGGAAGAGAGATTTCGTTCACGGCAAAGTCTACAAGTGGAACTTTGCCCGCTTGCTAGGGCACGACAGCAGCCGCACTATTGAGTTTCGGCAGCCTTCAGGCAGTACTTGTATGGAAGATGCGATTGGCTGGGTTCTGTTGACACTGACGTTTGTCTCTGGCGCAACTGGAGGCGGGAACTGTATCGGTTCATTGGAGAGTGGCGCTGATGACCGGTTGGAGTTTTGGCAGCTCTTGTGTTATGGTGCTGGGGTTCTTGGGCTTGATCCCTTTCTACTTGATGTCTTGAGCGGATTCATCGGTCGTGCTGCGACTTAATCGAGTGTGCCGTCATGTCGCCCCCTCAAATTGACTTCTTCCACCTCTCGTTCCATCGTTTGTTGTTTGAAAAGATAGACAGTATCTCAAATGATTCAATCACTTCAGCTCCCGACAGGCCCCAAGGTTGGTGGTGATAATGAGAGTCTCTCCTGTTGCCCAATGGACATGGCTTTGGTCCCGGGATTCCGGCAACCACTTCCGGCCCGGAAGAGTTCCCTCCGGTAAAGCACCCCTTCAAGCACGTAAACCGTACAACGTGATCTCTTTTAGGCTCTACTCTTAACATTGGTTCCGAACATCAATCGAATTGCAACCTCACGTTCTGCAGTTAATATATCCGGGACGCCATTCCCACAACAAGTTTGGTCGATTGTGTGCTTTCCACCACCGCCCATAGACGCCGCTGCACGACTCCCGGAGTTCCTTTCGCAGGAACCAAACATGGATCATCAGGAGAGGAGCAGCTAGTTCCGTCTGTGTCCTTCAGCTGACAGGCTTTTCGAGATTGAATGCAACATGAGCAGAGACCTCGTTGGTCCCTCACAAGTATATAATCGTTCAAACTTGGCATCCACTTCATTCGTTCGCCAAGCTGTCAACGCATCTTATTACAACCTCCACAAACAACGTTCACGTCCCAGTGGGACTTTCGAGATGAGCATGCTACGGGTCTTGGCCACCGGCCTATCAGCGGCCTTGTTCGCGAGTCCTGTGATAGCACAGACTACAGCGCCAGCTTGGGGACAATGTAGGTCATGATAGTTTCGTCACGCCTGGCAATGCTGAAGTCAGTATCTAACGCAATTACAGGTGGCGGCAATGGCTGGACCGGTGCCACAAGCTGTATCAGCGGCTATACCTGTTCAGTTCTGAAGTAGGGTTCTCATTCTATCTCCTCATGCCATCCGCTGACCATTGGAACAGCCCCTACTACTCACAGTGCATCCCAGGATCCAGCAGTCCCACAACCGCTTCCAGCAAACCTGCCTCAACCTCAACCACCCCCATCGCAACGTCCACTGACACTCGCACAACTTCTCGCGCAACCACCACCCTTGTGACCGTGACCACCACGGCTACAGGCGGCGGCGGCTCCGTACCTACAACTCTTGTCTCTGGATGGTACTGGATCCGTGCCGTGGCCTCGCCCAACTTCCACAGCTACCTCCAGGCCAAGCCCACCGGCACGCCCAGCAAAGCCTACCTCGATTCACCCAGCAGTGCAGGTCAGTTCAAAGTCGAGGACGGTCAGCTTGTCCACCTGACTGGGTCATCACCTCTTTACCTCAATGTCGAGAATCCGACAGACAAGACGCAGAGAAAGCTGGAGACGTGGTTCAGTGCAACCAAGGGTACATACGGAACTTTTGCTTTCCAGGGTGATACGCTTACATGGAGTACCCCGGATATCAACAGGCCCAACGTGGCTGCATGGCTTGTCTGCGAGAATCAAGAAGTGTTTATCAACACGGGGGCATATCTGTATCAGACGCCCACTGGCTGTTTTGATCAGACTGTGAGTGAAAGCCTCGACTCTGGCCAGATAATCCTACTAAACTAACCAAAACTAGATACACTCCTATGGAGGTTCGACCGCAGACCTCTAATTTTACCAAGGCCTTAACATCAAGCTTGGAATTCATACTACAAGGTAGTACTTCAAATACATCACAATTGCTCCATGCTCTCTTCCGTCTCCCTCTTTCCCCCAGGATTATTCATCACCATGGTAGTCTCCAAAGTGAACTTATGCGGTCCGATATAGCTCTGTGAAGTGCTCCCATCTGCGAGTGTCGTGTCCTTGAAGTACGACTCGTCGAGGTGTATCCCGCCTAGTAACGAAGCGTGACTGGTAAAGGCCCACCAGACACTGAAATGCATCCCCGTCCCCATCGGTTCCAAACTCCACGTAATGGAGTTTATGTCAGTGCAGACCACCTTGTCAACCGTTGGCACTTTGGGGCCTGTGTTCGTGTTGATGGTGCAGTTGGCAAAGTCGGCGCCAGGGGTTGGCTGGACCGAGAATATGACACTATTTCGGATCATGTCAGCTACACGCTCTGTTGTTGTCTATTCCACGCCATCTCGTAGTCTAGCTTACAAGTTTCTGGTGCTTGGTGGAAGGCTTCCCGCGAAGAATCTATCGACTTCGAAGACTGCTGCGCGTGCGGCGTGTTCGCTCGGTGGAGTAGAAGGGGTACCAAGTGCCAGATGGCAGAGGAGAGCCAGACTTGCAAGATACCGCATGTTGTAGAGTATGATGTTGAAGAGTATGGCAGTGGTATTGTCAATTTTCGCTTCTTGTTGCTTGGGGATGTCCGTAGATATAGCGACGCATCTTCTTTATGTATGCCGAAAGCGCTCGGCCTCGCGCCCCTTGCCTCTAGGACATTAAGCAGCATTCGACAACCACGATAACTTCAAAGGATTGCCCGAATATTCAACCGTTTCTGGATACTCAAAGGAGGATTCCTAAGAGATTCCCTCCGTCTCGTACCCGGAATCCAATATTGCACCTGAAATAGACACTTCCATGTGATGAACGGGTCCTACCAAGAGAAGCAAACATCAACCATCCTGCGTTATACGAGGGATTCCAGGGCTTTGTGTAACAGAGCATACGACTTTTTGATTCCTACCAATCGGCTCCTTATCCGTATGGGCGCCTGAGCCATGCAAAGTTCTTCAGATCCGAGTGTAGCAGCAAAATGAACACGCAAAAAGTCATCCATCATGAACAAACAAAGTTGGTATCCCATTAACTTTTGACTAACCATCCGTCTAAACGCTAATCGTACGGAAAACACTGAACTCGTCACCAGTTGCCATCAAGGCACCAGTGATCTGGGGGTGCCAGTGGAGCTCCTTGACGTTGGACAGGTAGTGGACGAACAACAGTTGCGGCGGCACGTCCTTGACGCCGCCAGTGTCCTTGCTCTCTTCGTCGTCCAGCTCGACTGCCAAGTCCCACAGGGTGACAGTGTTGTCGCCCGCCGCAACAGCAATGATACTGTCGTCGGTGGGGTGCCACTCGATACTCGTGACCTGCTCCTTGTGGTAGTTGAAGCTGGCAATCGGCGAGGGCTTGTCGGCAGCCGAAGTAGAGCTCTGCTTCCACTGGCGCAGGTCCCAAACGGCGAATTCACCATCGTCCGCGCCCGAGGCAAGCAGATGCGTCGTGAGAGGCGACCACGACATGACGTTGACATCGTGGTTGCTGACCTGCATTGAAAGCGCGGGCTTTCTGCTCTTGCTGCGGACGTCCCAGACGCGGATTGTGCCGTCGCTCGAGGCGGACGAGAAGACGGACTGTTCTGAGGGACTCCATTGGATTTCCTCAACGCTGCTGGTGTGACCCTGGAATGGCCTAGTGTCGGTGACGAAACCGCCGCCGTCGGTTCGGGTTGTGACGTAGATGAGGCCATCATTGTCACCAGTGAGGAGCTTTCCACTGGGGACAAGGGGAGACCAGTCAAGAGCATAGCCCTCGGCCTTGTGGGCGCGGATCGTCGACACTGGCTTGTTTTGCTGCGCGGAGATGACGGTGCCCGGGTTGTCGAAGGAGTAGATGTGAGGTGTAATGTCGTGGATAAAGATGTTGGATGACTCGGTCATGGTGGCTGTGAGGGTGGTGGGGGGTCTGGAAGCGTCCTGGGAGGGGATCTGGTGGGCGCGGATTCGGTTCGTGGTCGAGTTCAGGGGGATCGCCTTGTGCTCAAGGATGGGCTCGGCGTCCTCGTCACCATCTTCTTCGTCGTCGTCAGAGTCCTCGTCGTCCTTCTCCGTACGGCTCAGACCGCTGAACTTCATGACCATCAGCTGGTTCTCCCCAGCCCGGGCATTCTCTGCTTGTGTACCAGCCACGGTGTACATGGTGGCGGGGTAGACCTTGCGGTTGTCGCCAAGGCTGTCGCGGAGGATATCGAAAGACAGACAGGGCCATGGTGAACTCAGGTTGTGCAGCATCTCGTAGGTAGACACGTCGGGCGCAAGTGTCTGGCCAGCTTCAAGCTTGTTTCGTCCGACGATGAAAGTGCCTTGGTCGACAGCAGCTATACCGGTCAGCTAAGATCTGAGTCGCAAGAGTGTTGCGGCCATACCTTCCCTCTCCTCGGCCTCCCTCTCTGCGTCAGGCCGTCCATCAACACCGGCCTCCATGATTTCATCCTCCTCGAACTCGTCCTCGAATTCGTCCTCGAACTCGCCCATGCCGGGAGCCTTCTCGTCAATCTCCATACCCTCAGGGCGGTCACCACCCTTGAGGGGGGCGTCCCCCATCTCGACGTCTGCTGAGCGTTTCGACATGATCTTTTGCTGTTTTTGGTGAACAAGTTGGAATTGGCAGTCAGGATTCTCTGCTCCTCGAAGCCTGTGACCTACGAAAATGCTAGTGCTGCAGAAAAAAAAATTAAGGCCCCGCGATTTGTGGCGGCAACGGTACCCCGCGTGGCGCTGTCCTTGAATTGAACGGTCTCAGGGGTCCGTTTAAGTGTGGCTTGACTTGAAGTCCAAGAACACGTGACCTCCCTCGTATGTGCGTCGCGTCACCCGCCATTCCACAACTTCCAGGCGCATCCCCGTCACGTCCGTGTTGATTGCCCCGCCATGTCTGATGAGACCTTGAACACCAGACGATTCCAGGCTTGATTGTCGCTCCTTCTCTGACCTGGCGATCTACGCCTACGTCGTCCCACTCGACAATGCCGTCTAGAGGATCACCGGCATCATGGCGCCGCAGCAGAACACCTTCGCCGTCATTCCAGACGCCCCCGGGCGCGTCGGTGGCCCCGCGAACCGGCCACCGATGACATCGAAGCAGGCTCAGAAGCTATACAAGCAGGCAAACAAGGAACCGAAGCGATCCAAGGCCGAGCAACGGAAATGGGAGAAGGAAAAACAAGAGGAGATTCGAAAGGAGCTGGAAAAGGAACGCGCAGCAGTCAAGGCCAAGGCAGCGAGAGATCGAAAGAAGGCCAAGGAAGAGGAGGCCCGAGAGAACAGGCGAAGGGCCGGGCAGGCTTTGTTTGACTGTCGACCAAGTCAAGATACGATTGCGCGTTTCGTACGAGGAAATGGTACAAACAAGAAGAGAGATTCGTCTGGAGAACCTATACCAAAATCCGAGACTACCCCTGCCACATTGGCCGATATCAAGCCGAACACCTTGACGTCAACCGCAGCTTCCAAGCCTCCTCTTCCAACTGAGTCAACAGAAGAGCGGAACCCCTCAATTACCTCCATGGCACCACCACCTCGTCCTTCACAGACAACAAAGTCGGCCAACCCACCCGCTCAGGTCACATCCACATGTGAAAGACAACCTACGGATGAGGGTGTGGCACCAAAGCCAATTGACAAAGATACTCTATCACGACAGCCACCAACCTTACCTCCCACCCTCAAGCCGCTATTCTCGGCGCCAGAAAAGACTCCAGCAGTGATGACTTCCATGGGACCTCCTTCACGACCTGCTGTGAAGTCCAAGTCAAGGCCCTTCATGATGCCCAAAGCGACATTACCAACACATCAGCCACCTCGGCACAAAATCTTCAAGCAAAACCCCTCTATGCAGCCTTCTGTTCATATCAAAACAGAGGTCCCGCCGCCAAATGAGTTGCCATCAGCAATTTCTGCACCGCAAAAGTCATTACCAGCGATGCCTTCACCCCCAGTACCATCACAGAAGCCCAAAGTTGAGGCTGTAGCAGACAAACCCCCGACGAACATGGCCATACCAGCAATCGCACCGTCACCAGCGGTTCTATCAAAACAGATGCCACCGCCACCAAGGCCATTGCCAGCGATGCCTCCGTCTCCAGTTCCATCACGGAAATCCCAAATTGAAGCCGTAACAGACAAAGCCCCGATGAATACGGCCATCCCAACAATTGCACCATCGCCAGTTGCACCATCAATGCAGATGCCACCACCACCACCGCCACCAAGGCCATTACCGCAGATGCCTCCACCCAGCACACAAGCAATTGTTCAAGATTGCTTTGACGACTTCTTTCCAACAGCTTCACAACTTGCTGTAGAGCTTGAAGAGGATTTTGATTCAGTGCAAACTACACTACCATCACGATCCTGCACTTCCATGCCAAACCAGGCTCCTACTCAGGGGCCTACCGAACCTTTCAGCCGGCCCAAGGAGGCAAGGGACTTGGCGCATGAAAGAATACTACCACCAGCAAAGACCAGCTTCCCGGTCGTACAAAAATCTGAAAATACAATGAGTTCACGGCATATCCAGCTAGCCAAGCCAGAGGCACATGTCCGTGTCAGTCAGGCACCAAACCTTATCATGGGTAGGCCACAGAACCGACATAGATTGGCTCAAGGGGAACAAATGTCAAAACGACAGAGGCATCAAAACACGATGCCTCAAGGGGCTTTCGGCCCAAAACCGGTCGCAAATAGATCGACTTCAGCAACATACAACACGCCTCCAGCCAAGCGACATGGTGCTCCACCACTTCCTGTACCTAGCCGGCTCACAAAGCGTGGCACCCTTCAGGAACTTAGCAGCAACCACCCACCAGCACCAAAACCCGCAGCTGCAAAAGCTATGCCTCTTTTTGACGACTTCTTTCCCCTGATCTGCACTCAGGACCTGATGATGTCGTCTCAGGAGGTGCTGGATATAGAGTCCCCGGCTAAAGCCATGACGCAGTCATCGTCGGGAGGATCGGCAGCAAACCCTGCCTCACCTCTCATAGAGATGGATTTGGGGTCTATAGATTGGGATGATGACCTGGATGATTTTTGATTTGATGCATGCATACACAGGAGGGGCGAAAGACACAGGCGCCAGGTTGAGACCCGAGCATCACAGCACGTCAACGTTTAGCATAAGGAGGGCACTTCTGGAATTTTTATACCCACTAGACGGAAAAACGAGCATGCCGGTTTCTTCATTCTTTAGCCAACAATAGACTTTTACTCTTTGCGATAGTAGAAGATACCTAGAAGATACCAAACTCAAGAGAGTCTCACGATGATGAATGAGAGCGACTGGAATTTATTCACGAGAAGACTCTATGTAGGGGATTGGTCTGCGCTCCCTGCCGCTCGAAATATGTGCGCGTGACCTTGATCATGTACAGCGAGTGCCGCTACAAGGAAAACCATCCGCTCAGAGACCTTGTCCCTCTCACTGGACTCCTCAAATATCAAGCCCTTCAATTGAAGGGAGAAAGTAACCCTATACCGTGACCATGGGAATCTCTGACCGATCATGCGATGCCGTCCCAACCCCAAACGCCAACCTAATGCCACCAATTTAACCGGATGACGCCAATTCTCATTCGTGTCTCTTTGGAAGACCACTCTGCCTGACTTTACGCCGTAGCTCAAAGGTAGATTCCGACCCAGGCCGTCTTATTTGTAGCCTGCGTTTCGCAACCATCAACCGCACAGGTGAGTTTGCTATCGCCATCGCGCCCAAATCCGGTATTTGGGCGTTTAGCTATTGGCTTGCGGTTCTCGTAGCAGTCTTCACAGTAAACCTAGCATAGCATTAGTATAGTGAGTTGAATGTCAGAGGTCTTGATTCTTACATGTCCGCATCCCTTCAGGGCCCAGAAGTGATGCTCGCTGCGCTGCCGTTTGTTACCCTTGCGCGCAGGTTGCTTCGCGTTCATAGGCACGTCAGGGTCATAAGCCAGCTCCTCGTTGCATGCGGGGCATATCACGACCAGATCAGAGGCGGTGTCCCTTGTATATCCGGGTCTAGGGGGAGGCGGGGCTTGGTGGACTGGCTTGGGTGATTCGACGCGTTGATCAAAAGCACCGTGCTCGTACTGGAGTTGAATGTTTCCAAGGGGGTTGTTCAGGTCTCCTCCTTGATTGATACGGTTGTGCAACATGCCGAGCAATTGTACCTCGTTGTCGGGAGCACCGGGAAGAAAGCTGAAAGGATACAGAGAACGCCTTATTCCGGCTGTTAGCCCACTGAATGCACCGCTTGGGTTCAACGTGAATCCGACCGGCTGTCGACTGCGATCGCGCTGACGAGGGGGGGGCGGAGGCGGCGCACGTCGTCGCGGAACTTCCGGGGAGTCGTCCGTAAGGTCGATGACGGGTGGTGCAATGCCGGCGAGGATGCTACTATCGCTTCGCGCGAAAGACGGCGGGTTCCTGCCTTGGGAGTGTTGCCTTATGGGGTTCGTCGGAGGTCGAGGCGCGTGTCTCTGGACAGGGCTGTCGGGTTCGTTGGTCAAATCGATGACATCCGCAGGGCCATTTTGGTTGTTCTGAGGTCTCCTCCCATTTCTCCCCTGTTCGAAATACAACTCCAGGTCCACGAGGACATCGCCCGAGCCGTTGTGACGAGCCGCGCCGCCTCCATGTTGGCCTCGCATGCCTTCTCCTCTGTCGCCCGGGGGTGGCATCCTTTGTCCACGGAGATCTGGCAACTGATCCATTTCGGCGAGAAGCGCAAGCTCAAGTTCGTCTGCGAGGTCGGGAGAGAAAGGATCCGAGTCATTAAATAGCGGATCGTGAGAGTTGATCTCGAGTGACATTAAAGACTCTGAATCAGAGTCTGAAGGCTGTGTATTTGATTGTGAATCAGACTCGGGGTCCCAATCCACTTGGGCGTCGGCTTCGGAGTCGAATATGCTTGAACGGTGATCCACTACGTCGGAGGAGGATTCAGGAATGTAGCCTGGGTAGACGGGCTCGAGGTCGCTATCGTCGTCAAGTTCTTGATCAGGCGAGGGAGAAGGTGATATTGACGGTGAAAGCGGAATCGGAGAGAGCCGAACCGAAGAAGGCGACGTCGATGGAGAAGATGGTGGAGAAACTGAGCTCATATTATGTTTATCGAGCCAATATGGATTGGCGCTGGAGTAATAATTAGCTTAAGTCCGGCAGCTCCTGTCAGCATGTGGCCACGCACAAACCGTCTTTTCCTCGGGTAGGTGTCCAGAGTGCGGGAGAAGAGTCGTAGTCGTGGTCGCAGTCGTGATTCAGGTCGGGTCGTGTCGGGAGACGTAAAGTAGAAGTAAATCTCCTACGACGGACACAAGGGTGAAGCGACCATCCCGTGGAAGCTGTTGGTGTGATCGAGAGGTGGAAGAAGGAGGAAAACCCGAGGGCGCTTCAGAGCACAAGGAAGAGGCGAGGTCCTTGGACTTGCCCGTCGTGGTCGTGGTGTTGTTGGTGGCGGTTAGCGGAAAGAGCGACGGATGGTTTGGCGCTTCAGCCTTAGATAAGCTCGCACACGCGCACAGTGCAGGGGGGCAACACCGCCGATAAGGCAGGAACCCCTCTGGACTTTCAGGGTAAGGTTAAGGTGAGCTTTTCGCCGTGGAGGTAACTGCAGTCTGCGGCGGAATATTTGCTAAGCGACGCTGCCCTGCATTCTCCATTGTCTCCATGCAATTGCAAGGTACACTGTTCCCTAGATAGTTTGATTATGTCATAGTCCCGAAAGGGACAGGAAAGTCGTGATGCACCTTCGCCTCAGCACACCCTAAATCACCAACTGCCTCGCCTCAACGTACCTCATGGCATCTTCAACAAGGGTCCGGCAAGCCATCCATTCAATAGATGGCGGCTGGCCCTGACGATCGATCGTTTGCACTATTCCTCGCATGACCAGAGTTCTTCATACCTTGTGAGCCCAGACATCGGATATCATTTTAGATGAGACTCTTCTGTCCCCATTACTTTTAATACAAATCGCAGGACATATATGTCTGCTTATTCCTGCTTGACTCCAAATACTGAAACGACGCCCTCCTCATTGACCGAAACCAACTGCTTGGCCCCAGCACCCCACTGGACCGACAATGCAGCCACCGACGTTCTGAGGGGTTCTGACCATTTCTTGGAGCTCTTGGTGTACTGTTGGACAGTAATGCCGCCGGCACCCGCAGTAGCCAAGAACTGTCCGCTGTAATCCCAGGCCAGTGACTGCACTGGTCCCCCGGTCTCTAGTGTCTTGACCTTTGCAGCATCTCCCTCCTTGCGCAGATCAAAGATGGTGACTGAGCTTTGGCCCTTGGCTGTCGCCGCAAGCCAGAAGCCGTTTTCTGAGAAAGTCAGAGCCTCGACAGGGGCTCCAAGGTCGAACGCAGCCGCAACCTCCAACGTCGTTGTCATGAAGAGCTTGATCTCGCCTGTAACGGTTCCGGCTACGAAGAGGTGTCCATCGGGGTGGAAAGCAGAGGATGTCAGGGCTGCGCAGGTTAGCAAGTGTGTTGGGAGTACTACGGGGCGTTGGTGACTTACCAGAGTCGGCGTAGGCACGGCTGATCTTCCTGAGGGTGTTGAGATCGTACAAGACAATGCTCTTGTCAGAACCAACGGATGCGAGCAGGTCGCCAGTAGGGTGAAGGCTCAAGGAGGTCGCAGGGCCTGCGTGTTCGGAGATTGACGCAACTTCGCTACCACCCTCAAAGACCTTCACTGATCCCTTGCTTGTGGCAAAGATGAGCTTGCTCCCAGTCCACACAGAGTCGATAACCGGCTCGTTGACCGCGACTTGGCGCTCGACCTGGTCTGCCTCAACAGAGTATATCGCGGCATCTCCTCCACGACCACTGATGGCCGCATAGCTTCCTTCGGTTGCAAGAGAAGAGGCGTTCGAAACTGGTGTGGAAGTGGATGCCACAGTGGCCAACGAGGCAACGTCTTCGGATGTGGCCCAGCCCTCGGGGACCGGACGCTTCTTGCGGCTCTTGGAGAGTCTGTGACTTGTTAGTAAACCATTCTAGAGTTGCCCAATCCTGTGCCTGCTGAAGACTGACTCTTGATGCTTTGCGTTGACCTTCTCGACCCATTCCTCCGGGAGACCTTCGGCCGAATCAATGGCCATCGCATCCCCATTTGTGGCTCCAGCGCTGACGCTGACCTTGGAAAGCGCTTCTCTGGCCTCGTCCCGCTCCTTTGACAGACGCGCAATCACTCTGACTGCGGCATCGTGCTGGTACAAGGCTGTGGCAAGCTCCTCCCGTGTCCTCGCAAGTTGTTCTTTCAGGTTGAAAGTCTCGAGAGCAAGTGCATCCCACTCGTTCTGGAATGTTGCAAGCAAGGCCGGAATCGAAGTGAGCGTCGGGGGTCGGGGTCGGACAATGTGGGACTGCGTCAAAGGCAGGAGGTCCTCGATCGTCAGGGCTTCGCCAGTAACAGGTTCCGTTCCATTCTCCTCGATGTACTTCTCGATCAATCGCTTCTCGAAGACGGTGCCTATCTACAGTCAGCATTTTGAGGTTGACGCGAGCAGGCGCAAAACACGTACCAGACTTCTTTGAGGCAACGGGCTCCTGAGGAGCTTCTCCAGAAACTGGGAAAGCAGTCAGCGATTGCGCAAGACATTCCCGAGTATTTCAACCTACTTGCGCACAGCATTGTCTTGAATGTCGCGATATGAGCCGTCTCAAAGTTCGTTCGCGTCGACTTTTACCTTCCAAAACAAAACTTCAGCCTTGCTGCACCTGCAGTTCCAAGGCAGTGTGGGTCTTGCTTCGCAGCTGGCAAGCACGAGCCACTCCATCACGTGTGGCTTCCAGCGGATTGAGGTAAGGTATCCGGGCAGGTGTCCTGTCATCGGCGCCTCCCGTCTTGACTTATCTTATCGCTATCTTATCTTCCATCGCAGCATGAAGTCACGCCGAGGTCTACTTCACCAGGTGCTTGCCTTAAATAGGTGCAGAGGAACCCTTGACGCGCGATATCTGAGACTATGCTGGTATGAACGTTCACTCATTCATTGCTTCATCATAAGTCAAACCACCAAGTGCGTTTTATAGTTCAGTATGGCTTCCCTACCCGACGTCAATAGCCTCAACTCCCTTCCCGTGGAGCAACAGACCAAGATCTTGGATGCGCTCTTCGAACCAAGCCCCGCGATCCACGCTATTCTCCTCCCCTCCATTTCCGCAACACATTTCCAGTCTTACGACGAATTCATCAATCAGGCTCAAAAGATCTTTGAGACTCTAACGACCGACCCTACGCAAAAGGCACAGCTGCACTCAATCATCGGCTCACACCCACGCCTTGGGGCCAAGAAGGTTGAAAGTGCTCAGTCCGCCGCAGAGCAGGCCCAACTCCAGAGCGGAGATGCCACTGAACTGGCTGCGCTGAACGCCGAGTATGAGGCAAAGTTCCCGGGCCTGCGTTACGTTGTGTTCGTCAACGGTAGAGGTCGGCCGGAAATAATGGATAACATGCGTGCTCGTATCTCGCGTGGTGACTTGGCTCTCGAGGAGCTCGCCGCCGTACAGGCAAGTACACCATTGAATTTGGATCCTGTAGACATTCTTCTAATAAGAAAGTAGGCCATGTGTGACATTGCCAAAGATCGTGCAGCTAAGCTTCTGGCCGCTTCGGGGTGAACGGCTCAGACACAACTCAGAAGCACCTCTCGGTCTAGTTGTCCGATTCATTTCCTAGAAAAATATTCAAACCCCATCTAAGCCTATAAGCACAACCCAAATCTAGCTTGCCTACTATGAGAAACTCGTCTAACACTATCTTCAACCCCATCACAACTTCGCATTCTCATCCAGCAGTCTCAAAAGTCTGCCGACACGCTCGGCCTCACGATAGCCGCTGACGACTGCGCCAGCCACGCTTCCACGGTTCTCCATCTCAGTGTGCTCACCAGCAAATCCGAGTTTCCCATCCCAAACAGGTCTGCTCAGCTCCTTGAAGTCAAGTGGGCTTCGCTCACCATTTTCTGAAACGATTGACGGGGTAGTCGTGGCACCGCGGGAGAATTCGTCCGTCAACCAGTTGGTCAAGTTGGTCTCGACCGGCTCCGCAGGCTCAGATGATGGCTTGAAGCGGGAGATGAGGAATTTGTGGTAGGCAGCCGCAACTTCCTTTTGGTCGAAGCGGAGCAGCGCAGTAGCGGGCGTTTCGGAGAGGTACGTCAGCAAGGTCGGACTAGGGCCGGGGAGAGACGGGCCAGCGAAGTTGGCGCAGACGAGAGTCGATGCCTCAAAGATCTCGGCGGGGGTAGAGCTCTCGGTCACGGGCTTCGTAGATGTAGGCAAGAAAGTGTAGGATCCAGCCTTGTCGGCCTCGGGCCACCAAGCCGTCTGGTACTGAAGCAGAAGCTTCTCCAGAACACCGACGTGGGTGCCTTTGATTACCTCCTGTAGGCGCGGCGGTAGCGCAGGGTTGAAGGTGCTTTCAGGCAGATTCTTGAGGGTACCGAGCGGGATGGTAGAAACGGCCGTCTTTGCCGTGAACTTGTTGCCGTTGGCGTCAACAATTACGACTCCATCTTGGCTCTGTGAAATACCGGTGATCTTTGTGCTCAGCTTTACTTCGGTGCCCTTAGCCTTGGCGTCATCAAGGACCTGGTTGACCAAAGACTCATAGCCTCCCTCAGGGGCGGCGTCAGAACCGCCAAACGCGGTGGTAGTCTCCCAGCCAGCCCACTTCAGAGAAGCTTTCTCGAGCTTGAGTCCCAGAGGAATCTCGAGGGAGCGGGCAAGGACAGCTGCCAGCTCCTTTTGGGGAGAACCCGTTGCGGAAGCTGAGAAAAGAGCCGAGTTCTCAGCTAGAAGGGCGGATGCGAGTGACGTTGACGGGGAGGGAGCTGGGTGAGGAAGCTTCAATGACGCTTGAGCTGTACCAAGGGATGCGCGGAGGTTGTCGGCATCAGAGCTCGAGAGGCGGCCTAGTCTTGATCAATACAGATGTTGTGGTATATGGGTAAGAGTCTCACGCACCAGTTGGGCCGTAAATCACACCCTCAGCAGCCTTGGGCAGGTGAGCGGCCTACCTCCCCTCATTAGCTTATCACGTCTTTTACCCAATATTCTCCATGTCAAACTCACAACGCCGAAATCTTGCGCAATGTATCTCGCAGGGTTTCCTTCTTTGTAGCCATGAATCCAGCTACATCCAACATCAATCTTGGCATCTCCCTTCACCCACGTACTCGCGCGTCCTCCGATTCTGTCTCTAGCCTCGAGCACCAATACTTTGCGGCCCTTGTTGGCAAGTTCCCGGGCGGCAACGGCGCCAGACCAGCCGGCCCCGATCACGATTGTGTCCAAAACTTGATTGCTCATCGTTACAATATTGCGTCTAAACATATGTCTGAAGTTGAACGTTGAACAAAATGTTGGACAATAGACCGACGATGTCGTGCTTCAGCTGCCCTGGTTAAATCACCCCGCCCCCAGTGTCCCCGCCGTTTCCCCAGGCCCAACGTCACGGCGGGACCCGGGAAGATGTCCGACCGGGCCGACCATCGGAACTGGTGGGGGGCCCTGCTCCCCTGACTGTGATTCTCACTCTCAGCTACACCCCGCTGCCAATACAAAAGCCCTCGATACGAAAGATCCCTCGATACGACTCACATTCTTCAGCCAGATTGCAAGGTGAGTTCGTTTGAGTCTCCGGGCTTTCGGGATGTCTAAATGCCGGGCGGGACTTGAGACGGAATTGAAGACAGCTTGAGGCATAAGCTTTCCGGTGGGCAAGTATTGCCTTGAACGAGTCTTTTTTTCTTCTTATTTACTTTCTTCTATACCAAAGCTGCGGCTCGAACTCAGCCTCTGCTTCAAAAGCGCCATCGTCAATCGAGCATAATGCCGGGTCTTCTCTCCTCCTGCCAGGCCAATAATGGCAGCGAATGACCTGCTTACGGCGCTCATTTCGTATGTCCTTGGACAGAGCCAGTTGGTCACCTTGCGACTTCAATTGGTTTCGATGCCTTTTTTCTACCTTGGCGAGCTCATTGAGGTTACTGATAACCTCCTCGCTTTTGTTTTAAACTTGGGATTCACCCAAGTTGATTTTCCTTCACGCGGAATCCAACGGCGCTATCTGCCACCGACCCAGGAAATGCCATCCAATTCATCGAGATATTCCTCGTAAGAATTACCGTCGTCCTCGGTCTCGCCAGTCTGTGCCGATCCTCCGAAAATGGCTCCAAAGTCAGAGTACACATCTTCCAGATCGTCGTCGTCGGCCCATGCGTAGGAACACTCGTGGGTTGATGTGGGAAACGCCAAAAGTCCGTCATCCTCCATCTCATCCAGCATTGTGCTTGAAGGAGCTAGGACTGGTGACCGGGTTGGGTTCAACCTCGGCGATACAGGTTGTATTCGGGACGATTGAGGCGTCCAGGGAGGTGATGGTTTTCTCTGTGCCTGGACGGATAGGGCACCAGTTGGATGAGGAGTACCTGGCGAGATCCCCGGTCGCATCAAAACAACTCTTGCCGGCGGTGGTTGCTGTCGGTGTTCTGGGTGTGCCGGCGATTGTGCGACAAACCTAGCTCCTGTGGCTAGCTGCTGGCCGTGGTGAAGCACGGCTGCGTTCGCGGCTGTGACTGCGACACCGATATCACCACGCTGCGTCGCCTCATTCCGAACTCGAAGCCGAATTCTATTGAGTACCGCCGCTCTCAACATGATGGAGCTTTCTCGAAGCAGGCCCTGTTTGCCGACCTCGGGCGACGTGGCCACAGCAGCCAGCTTCACGAAACGCTTGTCGCCCAAAGGACTGGCTTCACGGTTGATGATGTGTGTTGCGGGTAAGGAGTAGGGCTGAGAGAGTCTACTTGTTATGAGATGAAGTCTCAAGCGACGCTTTTTGCAACTCAGCCCGGCTGTGTATGGGCCATCAACATCGGACTCGGCTCTGCAGCGTTTCACTCTTTTGGATGATGACGGTTGGCTCGAGAAAACGAAGTTTGGTTTCTCCTGGCTGGTGGCGAAGACGAAAGATGGTGCCATTGGCGGAGTGGTCGGTGAAGGGGTGATTGGGTTTGTCTGGGCAGTCCCAGTGGATGTTGTTGCAGATGTTTTTGACCCATGCTCCGGGCCATGATCATTCGTGTTAACCAAGGTACGTCTGAAGATTGTAGCTGAAGGGCAGTTGGCCTGATGCTTGGCACATTCTCTCAAAGCCTGTGGCGAGAAAAGGTGAGAATCGATGTTTATACCGCCGTCGTCTTCGCAAGCTGAACTCCCGAGGCGCCACGTCTTGAAAGGTTCCAACGCATTGCGGTTCAAAGAACCGACTTCAACCACCATTGTTATCTTGTTGTCTCTAGTGATACCTCTCGCTCGAATGGGAGAAGGGGATCACTCGCTTCTTCCGGGCAATTGAGTTGCGTTGGCAGGAAACGATGCTCAGAGAGCCGGTTCATATCCCACGGCCACTCCCACTCCCGATCTAACTACCGTCCGCTGCCAACATGGAGGCCGGGTGACCCTACAGAGAATTAACAAAGTCCGTCAAAAGGTTAAAGCGGCATAAGAAAAGAATGACAGATTGGAGTGGAGTAACCAAGGAAGATGACGAGAAAGGACCCTTACGCTAAGTGCGAGCGACCCTCCTAGCAGGATGCGTGACTGAGAGTGGCGAGAGCGGGAAAGGCGAAAGGGCTGATGCCGTCCGCCGCTGCAAGACCAGCACGAGACCCCGTCTTCTATTTATTGCTCTACTCTCCGTGCTCCGTACACGTTTACCGTCAGACGGGTTCTCAGGTGAGTGCATAGAAAGCGGGGAGAGGCACAGAGCGAGAAGGGAGATCAGCACAAACCGACGGGGCGGAACCGCCCATTCAAACATTGAACGTGACCAGCTCGTGTTCCACCCCCTTCTCCTCTCTTTTTGAGAGCCCGGGAGCTGTGCTACCCATTGACAGGACGGGCTAAGAAAAACAAAAAGTCGTGGTAGACTGGTGTGTGGGCGTGTGAGGGAGAGGCGGCAGGGGTCGCGGAGGTAGGAATGGGCAGAGACCTGGGGAAAGCTGGCAAGGGGCGAATGAGATGGTCGGGATGCGCCGGTCACCCCCGGTCCTGCACCAACCCCGGTCTGGGGTCGAGGGGGGGGAAGATGCGAGTGACATGGGCGGGAAATTTGGGGCGTTTTCAGCCTTCAGGCAATGGACGGACATGCGTTGGGTACGGAGTCGAAGTTGTATATGTTTGAGTGAAGTAAGCATGCTGTGTAGCGTGGTATACAGTAGCAAAAGAAGTAGATGTTCATGATTCTTCCGTGGCTTTATTACATCCGTGTTTGAAGCGCGTCAAGGTTTATCACAACCAGGGTACCTATTCTAGGCCCTAAGACTATGCTCATACTATCAAGAATGGTTCAGGAATCGAGCTGCTATTGACGCACTTGTTATGCATTGGAAAAGCAATGCCGACCTGGAACTAAAGGTCAAGTCCGTACGGATAGATACTACTGTAGACAGGGAGGTAGAGACATGTTTTCCTACACCCCGGACCGGGTGGTTTTGTCCGGCCAGAGGCGATGTGACAAGCCGCATAAGAGAACACCTAGGCCGCTTTCTTGACCGACTGGTTTGCTGACCTCTTCCCTATTTGCCTACCAAACGGACGCTCGGGAGCTGGGCAAAGACATGCGTCGACAGTAGTAGAAGCTGGGGAGTTGTGGCAGGATCTCACCGAATGTTCCAAGACAAGACGTGGGCTGTGTTTCTGCACACATATCCAGCTACTCTAGTCCAGGTGCTTACCACCAAAAGTCTTCGCCACTCGGCAAGCTTTTGGCTGTTTTCTCGCATTCCAGTGCGTCTGAGTGATTAATTACTATCCAAGTTTGTTTGGTTGGATATCTCCGATGTTGCAAGCAAGTACAATTCCTGAATTTCCGGCCATGTTTCTTGGACCTGGCACCAAGAGTCAACGTTTCTTTTTCCCGCGCAAGTGGCTTGGGTCATCCGCTCTGCTGGATTTTCATCGCCCCTTTGATCACACTTGCGATATCGCAGCATTCAATGTGATGTTAGCTCGAGGGCCTCATTCTTCATTTGTGCCGCTGTCGAATGGAGCCCACGCCCTTGGGTTGCCAGATTCGTCATAGGTCGTCAGGCACTTTTGCGAGAGTTGAGTCTCCGGTGATAGGTCTGCAACACCCGTGCTCGATGTATGGACCAGCATGTCAGTGAAAAATACCTCGAGACGGATGATCTGCTCTTTTGCCTCCCCGTCAAAAACATCGCTCTCCTTGCTCCCCTCCCTGTTGCTTCTTGAGTACCGAGAGCCTCGAACGGTCAAAGCGACACGGGATGCAACACCACAAAAGAAGCAGCCAAGCACAATCCCCATGCGACGCCAGCAAACTCCCATTTGTTACCACACTTTGCGGGGAAACCAGCCTCGTCCAACCATCCCCCCCGGGTTTTGGTCCTCCTATTGTGTGCGTGCGTTTACGCCTGTTGTCAATCACCACGGGGTGCATAATGCAGCGCTCGCCGCTGCGTATCCAACGAGAGTTGTTCCGAGACCGCTCATCGGCTGCCAGCACAGCTGAGAAGGGGGGCGAGGCGAGACCTCGAACGCAGGATGCCAGGAATGGCATCACACGGTAATGCGTATCCTTCCCCCGCCCTAAGCCTGCTCAGTCGCAGATGGCTGCTTTTCGTTTGCTTGCAAAGTTGGTGGCACTGAGCCGCTAAGTTCGAAATGGGAGGGTCACGCGTGGTCCAGAATATGGTTGTTGTTTTTTTTGCTGAGAGTGATTCTGAGCTAAATAAAGTAAGGTGGCCTAGGCGAGGGAGTATTTGTTGGCCAATGAGCTTAGTGACGAATCAACATTTACAGGTTGGTGAGAGCAACAAGACTAGTTGTGTTAGGCGTCTGTCAGTTGCGGCAAAGACATCAAAAGGGTGCCAGGGTATTACACCCCATCTCGGGTTTCCCACATTCGAGACAGAAACCGATGCCATGGCTGTCAGCAAGAGGGTAACTTAAGTCCGAACACAGAGTTCAGTTGTCACTAGACTTTTGCTTCTTCACTCTCTTTCTAGATCAATTCTCTTGCATCAACTTCCTCTGTCTTGCTTACTTACCCTTCAACACTCGAATCGATAACCAAGACTTTGACATCCCAAAGTGAATCAATTCATCATCTGGAACGCCCGCAGGCTGCGACGTGTTGCATGACAACCCCAGTCTTTTCCGAGTCAGCAAGGTCCCAGATGGACTCAGTCCATTATTCAACTACCTTTCAGGGCCAAGCGGCCACAATTCCCATCACTTGTCAAAATTTTCTGCTCACTCAGGGACACTGGGGCCAAAGCGGCGCCAAAGCGGCGCCAAACTGCATGTGTAAGGTGACAAGGCAACCCGACCAGAAAATCAGCTGAAGTTCGTTCTCGGTCAGTTGGAAAGACAGGTCGCCGATGGCCCCAAGTCCCAAGGGTCATCATGTCAGCGGAAGCTCGGGCAAACAGGTGGGACAGATCCATCATCCCGCAGGGTCTGAGAGGGTAGCAGCGGCTTTGACCTCTAGAGTCCAGGGTATGGTAGCAGCAGGGCCATTTCTTGTCAGCTGTGTGCAGCGCTGGGTGGTACAATGTCTTGCCCGGGTCATACCTACTTGTAAGCATTCAAGGTCGTCTTACATCAGCCACTTGCTGTGAATTCCGCCCGCCGCTTGTACGCCATCGTGTTCCGGTCCAGAATCACCGGCAACCGTTGTTTTCATGTTGTATCCAGGCCGAGTAATTATGGGTATTCCCCGGAGACCAAAGCCGGTATCTCCACAAAGTGCCGCGGCGGTCCTTGGAATGAAGCGGTAGACTCGGCGTAAGAGACTAGCCGACCCCCCCCTAAGAATCATCTGGGGGATTCCCCTCACATGGGGTGCCTCGGCTCCGCACCGTGATTCTCTGAAGTCTGTAGTCCTGGAGATGGAAGAAGAGCAGCTCCGCACGGCCACGGCCCCCGCCACAGAGCTCCTCGTCCTGGTCTCAGAGGGTTGTTGGGGAAAGCTAAGCTGAACCCCGAAGCTTAACTTCAAACCAGACAATCCCTTCTCCAAGCTCCAACGTTTCGTCATTTTTGACAGGTAGAAATTATTTCAAAAGCCGCTTGAGGATCCCTCGTCATATTCTGCGATCGCGTCAATCTGCCCCGATCGACATTACTTGTTTCCGTTCAGTAACCCCGCCACTCGCTATGTCTAAACTCTTGTTTAACGATGTAATGGCCCTAGCCTTACTACCGACAACGCCAAATCATACGACACCGACAGCTGGCATCGTCAAGCGTTACATGAGTCTTTACCCAGCTTGGGTACCAGGATCTGAACTCGTTGGCGGCAAAGGCCGCGGGTCCAAGGCAGATCCTCGAGCTGCATATGGGGGGCATGTTTACTGTCAGGCACCGCTAGCTGCAAGCCGAGCTGTGAAAGAAGAGGAACCTGAAGGATCCGGGACGCAGTCCGGGGGTTTCGGACTACATGTGGGATTGGAACCCAATGCCTTGAGCAGAAGATGGAACCGTCGCTAACACCACAGCAAGGCCATTCAAGGAGTTTTCTCAGCTGCCGCCAAGTCAGACAGGCCATTCATATATGAGGTCACCGTTCTCTCGACTAACCGGACATTCTGCTCTCGCCTGGTGACTGTGCGCCAACCAAAGGAGACGAGCAAACGCGACCACTACGAAGACAACTTCTTGCTTGAGGATGCTGAAGGGCCTTTGGGTGACATCTGTTTCAGTTGCATATGCACCTTCAAACGGCCAGAGGAAGCCCGAGTCGTTTCTCAAGAAGAGCCACCGCAAAAACGCTTCGCCGAAATCTTGTCAACCAAGTCACCACAAGATTGGCCGTTCGCACCGGCGGTCGACGTGGAAGAAATCAAAGCCATGTTTCCGGATGTCGGCCAGACAACGTTTCCCATCGTTGACATGCACAAAGTCGACTTGACGGCTTACAATAAAGGAAAGTCGGTCTCGGAGAGGAAGGAACTCCTCCTATATCGTCTCAAAGGCCCTCTTCCAGCGGACGATCCCAATTCTCATGTGGCCGTCCATGCGTTCGAGTCCGATCGCAACGGGCTGTTGATGATATGCAATCATGTTGGTCTCGGATGGAGTCTAGGCACCGCAGCCAGCTTAACGTACAAGTTTGTTGTCCACGTCAATGTCGACCAAGCCGTGATGAAAGATGATGGCTGGTGGATTCAGGAGGCATCATTTCCTCGGACCGGCCAGGGGCGAGGGACATTGATCTGTAAGATGTGGAGTCCCGAGGGTGTACATGTCGCTACCGGGTATCAAGACGGCATACTTCGAGAGCGGAGAACAGAGGAGGATAAGATTAGTCAAAAGCTATGATGAGATGACAAGAACGTAGTCTTATGAAGGGCTAGGTTAGAACAGTGTAAGTTTATATAGATTTGATATAGATGAACAGAAATGAGATTCTCACAGGAGACGATCAGGCTTTCTTCTTACCCCTATACCCATGGCTTATTTGTTTTATTCTCATTATAGACCATTTCACCTTATCTTACTATCTTCTCTCTTCTATAGATCGCTCAAAGGAAGGATCGAACTGGTTCGAAAACGTTCTTGCCATGTCTTCTTTACCTATTGCCGTTTAAGACTTATATTTTTTGCCTAGATGACCCCTTCGTTCCTACCCTCACGACTCGTAACTTCCGTGCCGACATCTTCTTTCATTCTCACCTCCGTTCCTTCTCTCATAGCCTCTCCCGGGCCCTCTATAAAGCCCACGCTACCTTTCCACTTCTTCTCTCATACACCACCAGAATATTCTAGCCCAGACACACCACACCAATTGCTTCTTCCCCTGCACACCACACTGGAGTCTTTCTCCTTTGACACTCCACGACAATCAACTCTTCTCACTCACACTCAAGACCGGCATTTCTATTGATGGCATTTACAACTCACTATACTTTGACATTTCTGAGCATCTCCATGAGCCGGAGTGGTTTGGTATACATTCTTCACCTAGCATCTCATACCGTTCGCACCTACCTTTAACTGTCTGACACACAGATTGGATACCCTTCTCACCACATCCCGACTATCTCTCACTTATTTGAGGCTATCATCACTGGACCAAGACATCTGGGTCAGCTACCTTTTCACAGCTAGAGACTTGTTTCAGCTGCTAACTCACATTCAGAAGACCGGATACGGAAGCCACGATGGACCCGACTTCACCCTCTTACGATGGTGTACCAGTTCAGCGATCACAGCTGCTGTCTTCCATCACAGAATTGAAACAAGGAATCCAAGCTGCTGAGGCTGATGCAGACCGCATTGAGACCAGAATCTCATACAAAGAGGACTGGATCACCGAGCTTAGATCTAAGCGCATTGCCTCTGATGAACCCACACCGGCGATCGACAAGGCCATCAAGAAGGCACAAGCACGCCATGGAGTCATCGAAGAGACACTCTTTGCGAAGAAAGATGAGATCGCACGCCTTAGAAGCAAGCTGAAGAAAAAGGAGACAAAGCTTGCAGCGATCCCACAAGTTGAGTCATCCAATGCACCCGACCCCAAAGACAACGAAGATGCTGCAGCACTGCTTGAAGTCACAGCTACCCCGATGAATGTAATCTTCACAATCAGTGAAGACGGCAAGACCTATACCAATCCGCCCATGCTTCGGGGTGTCCCAGTTGCACCTATCAGCGAAACCGACTCGTACTGGAATCCCATGTGGAAAAAGTTCGCAGAGGCAGTCAACGAAGAGAAGGTGGAGAGGGAGTATCAAGAATACCTCTTGGCTAGACACCAGCGAATGCTCGAAGGACCCCTGCCAGCATCAGAGGATGAACCAGAGCAAGTCTTCAAAAGATATCAGCGCAGCATGAGGCAAGCCAAGGTCACTAAGCAGTGGTTTAACCCGGGCCATACGATCCATCCAAACCAACTCATGGCAAAGGAGCACTTGCCCGAGACAGGACTTTGCGACAACTATGTTCTCTACAAGATCTGCAACATCCTTAGCCGCATCAATGCCATGTATGAGCGCGGAGAGCTGGGAATGCCGCCTCTACACTTCCTCATGTGGAGAATGAGTGTCTCCCTGGAGCGCTATCCGCACGACCCCTGGAAGTCATTCTGCCGCGTCATGGTTGACGAGAAGCACAGTGCTTACGACAGTATTCTTCGGCAAGCCGAGATCAGAGGTGCACAGCATGTTGGCGACTACAACTTCTACTTGGGTAGATGGAAGCAGGCATCTTCTTCCAGAGACCAGGCCCAGTCATCCGCATTGGCCGCGAGCAGATTCACCGCCCCTGCTGCAGCAACTGCACAGCCTACAGCGAGTTCCCATGGGTCCCTCTTCCGACAGCAGCAAGATCTGCCCGAGCCTATCTCGAATTTCGCTCCGAACCCGACTGGGGCATCGAGCTCTCTGGTGCAGATGCAGATGTCCTCTGCACAGAGAGACAGACAACGCGAGGGAGATGGACGCAAGACTCGCCACTCTGAAGAGGGATCTGGTCAACAGACGTCTAAGTACGACGGTAAACCCTTGCGCTCGGCCAAGAAGCCCTGTCAGTCGCCCCTGCTCGTGGAGGACCAGCTTGTCATTCGAACCAGAGCATCCAATGAGAGTATGATCTCAACCCATTCCTTGACCAGAGCCGGCATGGAGACCGAACCTCTTGCAGACCTGGCAGCGAAGCCTGGAGACGAAACTCATTCTCAGACATCCGTGTCCGGGGCAGAAAAACCCCTAATGGAGGATGGACTCCAATGGGACAGCTTCGAGAAGAGCATGGTCATCGATGCTTCGGGAAACGAGGCAACGGCTCCAACTCCCAAGGACGCCACCGCCGGAGACACAGTCGACACTCGTGAATGGATTGACATGTTTGTCGGCTCGGAAGAAATCAGAAGACAGATCCAGCCTACGAACATGGAGGCCATCAGAGCTTCAGTCGGAGAGAGTCCGTTCCCGAAGGATACTGGAAGAAGAGTTTCTCACGGATTCGTCTTCCCCTGGTACCGCAGCGAGGAGGCTCAGAAACTGGACGAATTGGGGTTCCCTTTCTAGATGCGACTGGGTTGGGCATCTCTATGGGAGGAGACTATTGGTATGAGCGCCGGATGAAAGGACGATAACCGTCTCAGACAGGCATCGAAGAGGTGACTGTGTTTCTGGAGAAAACCCGTATCACAGTCTTTGGCCATCTGGATAATGAGACTGAGAGGTGGAATTGGACGGTACCCGACTCAGATAGGCTTTGGGAGAGGTGACTGGGTTTCTGGACAACAACCTCGTCATAGTCCTGGGCCATCTGAATAAAGGAAATGGCTGGCGGACAGCTTCAGTTTCGCATAATACTTTCTAATAGAATAACGTCAAAAATCATGCCATTCGCATCCTTTGTGAGCTGCATCTGAAAGCCACACGGATGAAAGGGGATGAAGCTCTGTAATGCTCCAGCTCTCATTTGGTAATCTCTCCATCACGTGATCCTCGGTCGCTTACGATTCCGGTTATGGCAAGTACCTTGGCCAGTGCTCTCTCTCTGTAGGCTCTGACTGGTGGTTCCCCGTAGCTTACCCGACAGCCGCAACATCAAACCATCAAATCAGGCCATCGACAAATCCCTCTCTCTTCACCCAAACCCGACGTCACAACAACGAACCTCTCCTCTCTACCACCCCAATTGTCGTCGCCATGTTTTTGCAGCGCTCCGCCATTATGGCTGCCCGCCGGGTGGCCGTCGCTCCCCTCGCCAGACGCACCTTCGCGACCTCCATGATCCGCCGTACGAACCCCAATTGAAGGGCCCCCCCCCCAAAATCCCGAGAAGAAAAAAATAAGCGTTGGAGCGAAGCCATTCCGAAAGTTCCCTTATCGCTGACTTTACGGCCATCCGCGGCCACAAACAGGCGACGCCAACTCCTCTACCCCCGCCAAGCCCTACAAGACCATCACCGGTAAGGTCTATCGAGCCAATTGATTCGAAATTATCGTCGTTTCCGTCTCCTGGCGCGGTTCCCCGGAATGCCCAAACCCCGACCGCATCCCTTCGGGACCGCGTCGTACGATCGAAGCGACGCACTATTTTCGAACGACTTGAAGGAATAGAGCACGATGCTAATCATTTCAATTCCAACGATACAGAGATCAAGGGCGAGGACGACCTTCACGGACCCGGTGCCAAGCCCGGCACCATCCCCACCGATCTCGAGCAGTCCACCGGTCTCGAGCGTCTCGAGATTCTCGGAAAGATGGAGGGCGTCGACGTCTTCGACATGCGCCCCCTCGATGCTTCCCGCAAGGGTATGCGATGACCCCTACTCGATCTTCAAGAGCGAGCTCGAAACCTAACTCCATCATTTAGGCACCGTCGAGAACCCCATCCCCGTCCGTTCCGCCGGTGAGGAGCAGTACCTCGGTTGCACCGGTGTCCCCGTCGACTCCCACGTCACCATCTGGCTGACCGTACGTGCCCATGGACCCGATTGAGCTTGTCAAAGGAGCTCCGTAATCTGACCAAATATGCACATAGATCTCCCGCGACCGCCCCATCGAGCGCTGCCCCGAGTGCGGCTCCGTCTACAAGATGGAGTACGTCGGCCCCACTGATGACCACCACGGTCACGACCACCACCACGGCTACGAGGAGCCCAAGACCTTCGCCGACTTCGTCAAGCCCGAGTACCGATACCAATAGATGCTTTTCGCGGGTGGCGAGCACGTAGCAAAGAGACTGGAGGCGAGACGGCATCGGGGGTGCTCTGGAGTGAGCACGGAAGATGTGTAGATTACCTTTAAGTTGTGGCTGTATAGAACCTTTTTCTCCCGATTCATGTCTCCTGACTCCCGCGGGTTTTGTGTGACATCCGCCAGGCCGTTTGTGAACAGCGACATAGATAACACGGAGAGCCGCAGCTCTCTCGTGGCTTGACTCGCTTCCGTGCGGATCGGTTGCCTGCTCTCCTCGTCCACGTAATATTTGATAGTGATGGTGTTCGGCCTGATCCTAACGTGCCTCATTCCGGATCGAAGCTAAGCTTAATCTTCTTTCCCTTCTTCTTGGCAGGTTTCTTTCTGGCGCCCTCGTCATCGTCGCCGTTCTTGTTGTCCTTGGTCACGCTCTTGTTGACGATAGCATCCTCCTGAGCATCTCCGCCAACAACCTTGCCAGCCTTCCTCTTCTTGCTCGCCCCAATTCCAGCAATCTTCTCCTCCTTGATATCCTTCCCCTCACCCTCCTCTTCTCCATCCTTCTTCAAAGCATCCGCCTCCACGCCACCATCCTTGTCCACCCGTACGTCGACAACATTTCCCTCGTCGTCCACCACAAGCGGCGCGTCCTCTGCCTCCTCGCTGTCGGAGCGCTTCTTGCCCGCCCGTCGCCTTTTCGAGAGGATCTCGTCTGGGCCTCCGTTCCCTGCCGCCTGTGCTTGGAGAGCGCGCAGGAAGGGCGGGATGTTTGTGTCGTAGGATAGGTTTTTGCCGGTGATTTTATCCGACATTGCGGCGGCGGGCGCGAAGCCGGATGGCGATTGGGAAGTGCCTTTGCTTGCTTCTCGTCGAATGTTTGTAGTCGTTGAGAGCGCCGCTTCAAGGTCACATCAGAACTGGCTCTGGTTTCTCTGGATGCGAGGCCGCCGTGGCTGGAACGTCGTCGGCGGAGGGTGTGCGATCATGGATGGTGAAGCAGCTATTGCGAAACGCCAGCCTTCGCGGCAAAACGGTAGTTCGCTGTTCTCGAGGGGTGGAGACGGAGTTCTTCAGTGATCAATCAATCAGCGTCTTTAGCGGATAGCGCAGCCGATTAGCGACCTTTCCGACGTCGTAGCGCATACGAACCTCGCTAAACTACAGTGGGCATACGCTACCAGGCCGGGCAGTGGGCGGGACCCATCCAGGTTTACTGCCGAAAGACAAACTCGACGACACGACTTCTCCCCTCTCATCTCCAAACACCAGGCAACTTCACCAAACCCAGCACATTCACATCACATGGGTGAGCAAGAAGCATAATATTCTCAGATGAAAGTTCTGTATTGTTGAGACTTTTGAAGAACGATGTCACTAACCCCAATGACTTTGGTATCTAATGCAGCGAAAAAAAAAAAAAAAACTCAAATCAAGCGGTTTCATGTCTGTACCAGCCAACTCATGGTTGCCGCTCTCCAACGCCGGGCCTTGTAACGCCAAAGCTAATGCCGTAGAAAACCTGCCAAAGGGAACCATTCCATTGATACACATAGAAAGACGGTGATGAGGCACACGCCACGCCATCGAGATCTTAGACGATCTGCTGGATAAACACGGGAGTACCGACCTGAGTGCCCACCACGAAGTTCGGGACAGGAATGGACGCGATGGGCATAGCAGTCAGGATGCCGGTGTCCTCGGCACGGCTGAACGCCACCGCACCGGATTCGCCCGCCATGTTGGTGGAGAAGAGCGTCTTTTGATCCTTGGAGAAGCTGAACATGCGCGGGTGCACGCCACCAGAGGAGATTTGATCGACAAACTCGAGGGTGATGCCACCGGCCTTGGGCTTACACTTGGAACCGCCGGGGGCCGCCTGCTGAGTGATCTTGAAGTGGGAGATAGAGTCGGTTGCGTTGCCGCTGATGCGGTTGGAGACGTAGGCGTGCTTGCCATCACTCGAGATGATGATCTCGCCAGCGGCAGCCGAGGTGGCGTTGGCGGGAGGGAATGCAGCGCCGTAGGTGCTCAGCTCCGAGGTATGAGTAAGGGAGAGGGAAGAGCCGTTGTTGGTAGAGACGGAAAAGACCTCGAGGGTGTTGCTGATCTCACAGGCGACAACGAAGGCGGTAGGCGCGCCTCCGTTCTGAGGGTACCAGGCGCCGTGGCGAGGGCCACAACCAGCTCTAGAGACGCTGTTGCGAGAGATAATCTCGTACTTGTCATCCTGGGAGTCGATGATGGAGATGGAGTCAGTGCCGAGGTCGCAGATGGCGAAGTAGCGGCCAGAGGGATCGAGAATAGCCTGGTGAGCGTAAGACTTATCCTGACGCAGCTTGTTGGGACCAAGCTCGCCACCGAGGGTGAGGCTCTTCATGTGCTTGAGAGCGCTGGCGTCAGAGATATCCCAGACGTCAACAGTGCCATTGGTGCTGGATTTTTGTTAGTTTGTGAGGCACTCAAAGGGACCAAAATAGCAGAAAAATTAAAGAGGTAAGTGGTACGTACTAGGAAGCGCCAACGAGGCGAGTCTTGTCCTTGTTGAAGTCGATGGAGACAACTCCAGCGCCGCCCTCAGTGGACTCAACGGCGACCTTGAGCTCATTGGTAGTGGTATCGAGCTGAAAAGAGTCAGTAAATGTTTTTGATGAGGTTTCAGCAGCTACTGAAAAGAAAAGCTGAGGCGACTTACGTTGAACAGGCGAAGGTTATTGCTGTTCTCGTCAACGGCGTAGAGAAGGTTGGGCTCCTTGAAGGCCATCCAGCTGGGGTTGGTGCTGGTCTGGTTGTCGCTCTTCACGACCTTGAACGACTTGCCATCGTACTCGGCGACGGCGATCATCCAGGTAGAACCAATGACGACCTTAGCCGGAGCGGCGGGAGCGTCCTGGCGGCCACTGACCGCCGCAGAAGCAGCCGCAGCAGTAACGATGACGGAGGTGAAGCGCATCGTGACGATTTGTGTGAAGTTGAAAGGAAAGAATGAGGGTATTGAGTGATCAGTATCGAGCGATCAGAAAAAGAAGTTTAGAGAGTGAAATGTGAAGAAAGTGTGCGATGGAAGAAAAAGAAAAAGAGTAGAGACTGGTGAGTGGTGAGTGGAGGGGAGAAAAGTGAGTGAGTTGGTGGGTGGGTGTGGGAAAGGTGTAAGGCAAAAGTGGTGATTCAGAAGTACGTGGAAGGAAGGAGCAGTCGGTCGAGGTAATGTAGGCAGGCGCGAATTGTTTCCACGGAGTTTTGCAACAGAGGAAAGAACAGGGCTGACTCAGGTCGGTCCAAAGCAGAGCTGAAAAAATTAGTGATTCGCTGGTACTGAGGTGAATACACAAACAAGTCTAATATTTTCATCCGAATAATAAGAGGGAGTCCTGGGACGGTGGGGGCAGGAAGCTGCAACCTTATAAGATGTTTGAGCAGGCAAGGGAAGTCCGGGAAGGCTGTGTGTGTGCATGGCCATGCAGACATGTTCACATCAGAACATGCATAATAAGGTAGTCTTTGACTCTAATTCCCGTGCATCTGACTCTTTTACCTTATCTGGGCCAGATCTACCACCCTGACAGACCCAATCCCCCAGCCATGGCTGAGTTGAATGAATGGAAGGGATAGGGTCAGATGGGATGACAAGCCCAGTATGCTCAGCCTGGAGCCAAAAGCCCGGCATCGAACCGCCTCCCTCCACGGCCACCAAACAGTGAGGTAACACACAAAGAGCCCCCCCTTTCTCTGCATACATGGGTATCTGCGTCTGTTTGTGTCACTATGTTCATTGGTCTCAGACCCCACATCATCGAATCCTTCTTGTAAAGAGTCTTGTTCAAGAGAGCAAAGATGCAAAGTGCCAGAGGCAAGGGAGGGATGGGTCGGGGTTACGGCTTACAACGGGCAAACGATTGGTGGGGGTTGCAAGATGGCAAGCTACCTTAGGTGACCAGCTGTTGGTTGGGTCTGTTGCATGGCTTACTCGTCAGGCCTAAAAAGCCCCCAAAGAGCCGCAGGACCTCCCCCTGACGATTCTTCCCTTTTCTTCTTGATACGCTTGGTGTAATATGCAGTCAGTGTTTGACTGGATTTCCAACTGCCAGCCGCCAAATTTGATGGTAACGCGAGATGCTGCATGTTTGCTGAGGTACCCTCAAACCCATATGGATGCAGGTAAGCATGGTGATCCAGCGCCAGTCAAGTCCAGTCAGGTTTGGCTCGAGTCCGAGTTGTCGTCCGGCAGTCAACGGGGATTGGATCCTGTCATCCCGCCCAGCCATAAGCCGCTCCTTTGGGCGGGCAGCCACAGCCGGACAAACAGTCTTGAAGTGAGCATTTTGCGTGAACAGCAGGTGCTTTGGCTTGATCAAGGAGCCTCATGTTCATCAGGCTGGGGCATATTCGGCTGTTCAGTGAGTCGATGGTCCAACTCGGGATCGCCTGCCTTACCGTGTGCTACTCACTACCGATGAAACAGGGGCCAAATGGCCACGGAATAATGATATGAGAAGCGAACCCAAGTAAAGTACCAACAGCAACGTCGTTTAGGCGCTGCGGTTGGTCGCCTGATTGGAGGGGCTGAGTGAGGGCGGTGTTTCGAAACATGTTCACCCGTCCTCGGCCGCAAAGGATTGGACGAGAAACATTCCGGGCATTTCCCATACTTTCCAGCGGGACACTCAGTTGGGAGGACTGTGTTCAACCCCCTTTATTTCAGCTTCTCTAAATCAAGGTTTTGTCAAACCTTGTTCATCTTGTTTATGAGAAACTTGAGGCGGGAGTATGTAATCTCGTTTCTCGCCCCGACGCATCATTTTCAATTTCGTGCATTTCATCAGGCGGCAATAGCAAGAAAGAGGGAAAGAAGCGCGGAAGATCTTCATCAGCATGCTGGCCGGTGGTCCGCCGTTGCAATACGTACCAAAGTGGATCTGTCAACGCTCACCACCCGGTCAGTACGTACCCTTCCAGACGCCGTTGACGGGCGTCTATTCTCGGCGTGGCTGCGCTTCGAGAACTAACCAAATGCCGCGGTGACGAAGACTGCTGGAGAACGACATGCGCATCTACATCCAATCAGCCGACCAACGTGAGATGGGATGATAAAACATCTCAAGATGCATGGGGACAGGGGACAGCCAAGCTCAGCACTAGCACTGCAGGGGAGCGCGGGGTGAATGCTGATCCAGTCATCATCGCATATTTTGTGCCATAGCTTGTCGAGCCTGCTTCTTGGTCAAAATGGAAGCTGCTTGCTGCACTGATGTTGGCTGAAAACATCCAATGTCTTTGTACGTCGTTGGTTGCGATGCTGGCCAGGGCTTTCTTGGCTGGCACCACTCACGGTATGATCTATGCTCAGCTTATTTGGAGTCTGGGGCGCGACTTTGAGATGAGAAGACCCAAGCCCAGCATCAAACGCAGTTAGTTGGTGGTCCTGGATATCCAGTCCACACTACTTGATGTTACTGGTAAGCCAAAGATGAGCTTCATCAACCAGGTCACCAAAATACTGAAAGCCAACGCAACGGACTTCTGCTGAGACCATCGACCTGCAAAGAGTAAGTCCCATAGCTCTGCGAGGATTATCTCAACATCTGGGAGGCATGGGTTTTGTAAGCTACAAGACAATCGCGGTCTCTGGCTGCAAGAAGTAGAGTCAAGATTCACCGAGAAGAGTGAAGGTAGCTTCAAGGATTCAATCTTAGTTCATAGTCTATAAAGGTATTACAGAAGCCCAGCAGTCATGGGTATCAAGACTCCAAGGGCCGTCAGGTATCCAAAGCAGCAAAGCACAAACGCCCGGATCCTTCGCTGCATCAATCTGCACGCCTCACACTCTCTCGTCACCCATTCCCAAGTCTTCCCCTCACCAGGTAATAGTCACAGCCTTCCTCAGGTAATTCGGACCACCCGACTTGAAAATCTCCTCAAAGATCCACCGCCCAACATCCTCCCTTGAGATACCATACCCAATAGCCTTGGTCTGCACACCCGTCTTGGGATCCTCAATGCCCGTCCGGATCCGCTTCTCAGGCTGCGCGCCATCCGACAAGAACGCGGGGCGGATAAAGGTGAAGATCTCATCGCTCGCCACGATCCTCTGCTCCATGACCCTCTTGTCGGCGTGCGGCTGCTTGAGGAGGACGTGGTACATGGGCACCTGCATCAGCGGCACATCGCGCGCATGGTCCGAAATCCCCGTCGTCGAAATGATGGCCAGCCTCGGCTTCCCACTCACGCCCTGGGCGCGGAGCTTCTCGAGCGCGCCGAGGAGTGCCGCGGCGCCGTTCTTGCACACGTCCGGGTCCTCGACCGTCATCTTGGCCAGGTTGAGCGGGCTGCCGATGCTGAAGCTCACGGCGTCGACGAGGCGGGTTGGGTCGGTTGGGTTGACGAGGCAGGCGGCCACGTCGTCGACCATGTGTGCGTTGCCCTTCTTCACGACTAGGTTCGGGTTCTGGGCTTCGGGGAGGACGTCGGTCATCTTTGTTGGGTTGCGGCAGAGGGCGATGCAGACGTAGCCGGCTTCGAGGGAGTGTTTGAGTGCTGCCATGCCGCAGCCGCCTGAGGCGCCGAAGAAGGCGATGGTCTTGATGCCGGACATGATGTGATAATGGAAGTTGGGGTGTTGTAGTGTAAGGTAATGGGGAGTTGAGGTTGTAGTTGGGATATGCTTTGATAGTGTGTGCCAAGGGTGAGGATGCAAAGGATGTAGATGAGCGGTAACAATGAATACGATTGGACTTGATTGTTCGAGTAGGATGGACTAAGAGGCAAGTAAAAGCTTGATGTCGCCAAGGAGTAGGATGATGATGATGATGATGATGATGTTGATGATGTTCTCTTCCTTCCTCTCACCAACAGCGAACTTGCCCAGCCTTATATGCATCCAACCTCCGTCTCAGACCGGGCAGGTATGCAGCCCATCTGCAGGACGGGGAACATGACATTTGGAAAACTCACCACTACAGCAGAAAGAAACCAAACACGGCATCCATGCTGTAAGCTGTAAGCCCGCAGGGCCGTGTGAACCCCATAGCCTCCGACTCTTCGCTCTTCCAAATTTCTCGCTCAAACGGGCGCGTTGAAGCGAATATCGAAACCAACAAGGAAAGGCACGACGTTGGTCCGTAGGGCCCGTAGGTGGTAAATCGAAAAGGCGGAACGACTATCCAGCCATTTGCTGCAACCACGATGTGGTCGGCAGGATTACCCCTACTTTGTGGCTGACAGGATCCGCATCCCCGCCCGTTCTACATCGCCCTCATCCCGGTCTGAATGCGACTGTCCTTTGATATTGTTAGTACTCGATATCTCCTCCCGCTTCTCCAATCGTTCAGTCGCACATTTCACTAACACATACAAACAGATCCACTTCAGCCTGGAATTCCCCCGACGGCACAACCAACAGCCAAGTCTGTGGCTCAGCTCGCGTCTTTCGCTCCAACTCGCCAGACTCCTCGCCTCGCGAAACACCACTCTTTCGTCCTTCGCATGGCCCCCATCCATCCCGCGTCTCGCTCGTCACTATTCGTCGCCTGAAGTAATTGTCACCAGTCGGCGGCCCATGGGAGATTTCGACACATCATCATCGTCAACAACAAACCAAGACCAACAACCAAATCCCGTCTCCGTCTCCGATCTCTATTTCCCGCGCCGCATTAACACGTCTGACGACTACGCCGCATCAGCTTCCAACAAACATCTGAGATGCATCTCAAAGTGAAACCTCACACCGCCTCGGCTGCCTAGGAGTCAGAACGAAATGCCCAACAGCTTCTGGGCATCTATCTCTTCGGCGGCTCATCTCCGCTTGCCCGTCTCATTCCGCCTTTGATCGCCGACACACACCCGGCCGCCGTTCGACCTCCTCTCGGATGCCACGGCAGCACCCGTGTAATGTCTCCAGTAACCCCTCTCACTGGATGCTTCAATGTCAGCATTGTGTTTGTGGTTGATTACACTCCCTGCAGTCATCGTCCTTTTTTCAACGGAGACTAACTCGGCCATTGCTTTTCCGCACGCTGAACCTCACTCAAGTCGGAATGTAACATGCAAACGCATGGATGACTTCAAGACTTCAACCTCTGTTGATTGCGCAGTTCTATCATATGTACAGACACCGGCTTTGAATTCAAAGCTCGCAAACGGCCGACTGCATATGCGATTTGGTTGCCCCAATCTCCATACCAAATGAATGGACGGCAAGCGCCATTACCCAAAATGCCTTCATGAAAAATGCTTCAAAGAAAAGAATGCTCTCATTACATACAAGTAGCCCGAATCGAAACCAAGCAAGTGCATCACGTTACCCATTATACCTTTTTTGAAAACCAAAACCACACTCTAGTCTTTACTTCATAGCCAGAAGAGAGCAGTGGCAGCCACAAGTGCGGCAAAGGCGCTGGCGCCGAAAGAGGACTCGCGGCGGAAGCCCTTGCTCGTTGAGCCAGAGCTGCCACCGGAGCCGCTGCTGCAGTCTTGCGAGAAGCCACTCGTGCCGCAACCGCTGCTGCTGCCGGAACCGGAGCCCGAAGAGTCGCCGGAGCCGGAGCCGGAGCCGGAGCCGGAAGACCCAGAGCCGGAGGAGCTGCCACCGCTGTTGTCACTGTGGTCATTGCCCGTGCCGGAGCTGCTACCACCAGGAATTGTGGCTGCGGAAGCAGTAGGTTGCGCCGCAGTGCCGGTGCCGGAAGCCGATGAAGCACCTGCGTTCATGTCGAGACCGGTGCCGAGGAAGCTCTTCAAAACAGTGTCCTTGTCGCTGTCCACAACGGTGTCGTTGGTGGCCTTCATGTTGTTGTAGTAGTAACTCTTCTTGCTGTTGGTGCCGGGCGAGCTCTTGGCATTGTAGCAGTTGATCTCGACGTCCTTGACCATGGCATAGAAGTATCCGTTCTTCTTGATGTCCTCGTGCTCCCAGTTAATGGGACCTCCGGCCCAGTCAACGGTACCCTTGGCGTTGGTGTCGGCACCACCAGGCCAGATGGACAGCTGGACACGAGCGGGCGTTTGCGGGTAGTCCCACTGCTGGGCAGTTGCGTTCCAAGTGTCGGAGCGCTTCTTGGTCCGGCCAACCTGGCCGTCTACCATCCACTTGATTTCATCGGGAGTCCACTCGATCTCGTACGTGTGCCAGTTGTTGAAGGTGTCGGAGAGAGAAATGTTGCCAGACTGGTCATCTGTAGCGATTGTGAGCTTGAATTCCGGATATGGGGCCGTGTCAACTAGACTTACACTTGGGGATACCCTGAAAGTAGTAGTTGGTCTGTGACATCTCCAGGTCGGCACCGACCCATTCATAGTCAATCTCGTCCTTGACGTCACCGTACAAGATGAAGGCCGTGACGACACCAGGACCACGCGATGTCCTGATCTTGGCGGAGACACTGCCGTACCAGAGGTAGGTGGAGGTGGCAAGGACAGTTCCGACACTCTTGGCGGGCATGGTGAGGAGAACGGCCTCCTTGTTGTACAGCGCGGGCTCACCCTGGGAAACCCAGTCGGCCTTGCTCGGGTCGCCGTAGTACTTGCTGATATCAACAATCTTGTCGAGCGAGTTCATGGGCATCTTCTTGTCCTGGCAGACGGGGCCGGGAACGCAAGCATCGAGGGAGAAGGACATTCGGGGATCACAACCGCCGAGGCAGAAGGCACCGGTACCGCATTGGCCATATTCTGCTATTGTTAGAGAGTCGAGTTTTTTTTTTGGATATTGCAGACGATGCTAACTTACGGGAACAGCAGGGTGCGCTCTCGGGGCACTTCTGAGTGAGAGAGCATGAGGGAGGGGTCTGGGCGAGGACGGTGGAGGCGCCGAGGAGGGCAAGGCCCATGGGAAGAACCGACAACATTTTTTTTGGAGCGAGTGTGTGTGGTGACGGATTTGTATTACGGTGTTACCGACGGAGAGAGGGAGAGGACAATAATCGCTGATGACCCCGGAAGTGACTGCGAGGAAAGGGCGATATTATTGTTTACGAATGAAGCTCGAGTTCGATCGGGTCCTTGTTGAACTTTCGCCGCCCGCGGGTGACGGTGGGATAGGGTCGGTTGTTTACTGCTGCGGCGGGGAGCAATTTGGGTGTCTGATGACTTGTGTATCCGTCTGTGACAAGAGCGGAAAGTGGTCGTACAAGGCTCGTCCGAATGATCGGGTCGAGATCGAATTCGATATCAAAGTCGATATGTTCGGAAGATTAAAAACAGAGTTTGGCTGATAATCTGGGGATCCCGGCTTCGTGATTGACTCGAGTCGACGTCGGTTCGGGACGAAACGAGGGCGTTCGGACGACAGAGGATGGGATAAAGTTCGGCTTTGGGGGAGCTCAACGAAGGGTTTATTTCTATTAAGCGATGGTAATAGGTAGGTATTAATTACAACGAGAAGCGCGGGTCAAGAACGAGTGAAGACCGTAGCGGACGAGATGAGTGCGTAAGGGAAGGGTTGACTCGAGGGAAAAGCGCAGGCGGCGAGAATTAATTTGGGGGAAGGGATGGGGAGTGCGGGAGCAGTGGGAATGCACGGGAAGTCAAACCAGGTGCCAGGAGGCAAGCGCTCACTGGTGAGTGGTGAGTGGTGACTGCCCGGTGTTGACTGTTCAGTGTTGCTCCTACCTCGACTACCACAATTTAGCGTGTCTTGCTACGCCTTAGCACGCTTGGGAAGTAGGTACGAAGGGGCAGTTACGCTTACCTGATTTACGCTTAACACGGATGCTGCGCCTCTTACCTTTGCTGTATGTGTGTCTGTATTTGGGTGGAAAAGGTACCAACACGACTTCAACGTCCATCAGCATCTCACCACCTTTAGTCCATCTCTGCCAGCGCCATCAAGCTGTGCTGCTCTCTGCTGCTCCCCCTTTCTTGAAGTGCCCTCCTATCCATCATTGATAGTGATCAGACGTCGTCCCCAGTTCTTCTCAGGGTCTCTCAGTGGCACGCAAGGGAGGATTGATGGATTCTCCAGGCTTCTCCTCCTCCTCTTCCCTCGTCTCCGTCAACCTATCCGCTACAGATGGATGGACACAAGTGGGACATCGAAGCCGCTCCTCGTTCCTCCATTGGGACAAGCGTGGCATCATTTGGGTAGGCAAAGCCGGTTAGAGCCTGACCCTGGCAAAAGCCCGGCCCTGACCATGTGCCTGCCCGTTCTCCCTTCTCGAGGGAAACCTGGAAAAAGGAAATACGGGGGAAACAAGAACTGGAGTGCAGCTTCTCTCCTTCCATTGGTATCCGTATCCGTGTACCCATGTACCCATGTACCCACGTACTTTGTGGTATGGTGTTCTCTTATTGGTCCAATCGCCACCTGCCCCATCTTTTTCAACTGTGAGATCCCCCAGATCATGATTTTCTGTCCACTTATGAACCACTTTTTCAATGCCTCTTGTCCTCATATGGGTTTAGCCCCGCGTGATCTGACCAATACTTTCCTCACTTTGCTCACCAAAGTTGGAAGATCACGGCATCACTCCCCCGTGTCTTCCCCCCCTGGTTTTCACTTAGCCGTCCACTTTTTCAATTCGATTAAGTCTTGCTCTGCAGTGATTTTCGCCCCCAGGTGCTCTGTGCTCTCCGGTGCACGGGGCAAGAGCGGCATAGCGGCATGGGACCACGGAAAACATATCCTCTTCCCTCGACGTCGCCTGTCGCCTGTCGCCTGTTGATCAATAGTGACCTGACCTGACATGCCTGAGCATGCGAACACGACCTGTCAGGCAATTGATGCAGCCATGGCAGCATAGGTGCATAGATAGCATGCTGGCCGTGTGTTACAGCATCCTCTGTGGCTGTAGCTTTGGCTTGCATCCTTCGTCACACACGACTGTGACGCTTCATTGACAGGTGCTGCGCTGCGGCAGCCATGGATCAAGCACTAATAAGCCAAGCATCCATCCATCAACTGTCAATATTGAATTTGGCTTGTGTCAATTTCATTGCCATTGGCATGTTAAGTCTGAACCACTGGCTTCCAAACCGTCGAGACGCCAGAGGGAAATGTCCCGTCAACCAGACGAGCAGACCTCGACTACATGACGCCGTTTCTCCCACCGGTGGCACATTCCATTGTCCTGTCTCCCATTGTTTATTTACCACATTCTTCGAAACCAGCCAAGCGCCGCCACATGCCACCAACAACACAAAACAAAGTCTCACCTTGCCGCCGTTTTATCCGCAACCTAGTTCAACAACGGTCAAAAACAAAACACACGAAAAAAAACAAAAGCATCATAGAAACAAGAGGAACAGGCACTCGAGTTTCGAGTATTTCCCCTCGTAAATGCGGGGTTACTCAATCATTTCCTACCGTGAACATGCCTTTCCGTCAACGGCGCTGCACCCTGGCTTGCCTTGACAAAACGCCTGTTGTGCTCATGTGACACGAGGGCATCCGACAGCCGCAAGATCGCGCACCTTCAGTTACCCGTTGCCAGGGTTGCCCCAGGCGTTCGTTTACTTTGTGCCATGTGAGAAATTGTAATGTGAATAATGTTGTTTCCTGTCACAAAAAAAAATTTGAGGCATGTAGGTACTCGAATCGTAGTTGGCTTCTGCGGTTATTTGAATTGTGGTTCAACAATGGTTGATTTGGCCGCATCTACGTGCCGCCGTCGACCGAGACATCATACCTCACATTTAACTGATTGCTCTTGATCGAGACTTGCAAGTGATACCAAAGCATTGCAAGAAAGGGGCGCGCAAGGCTGAGTCGAAGTTACCGAGTCGCCAAAATGCTGTGGGCATATTAGACATACACATTTGCCCCGGCAGAGTCACCATGTAAATAGATCATGTAGAATACCCCATATTCTAGCAATGAGGGTTGACTGAAAAACATTGCAAAGAGCCCATTGGCCATGAGGATATCAGCTACTCACAAAAGCCAAACCCGGAGGCGCTCACTTATATAGGCTCAAAGGTTGTCCTCTGCTGTTCCTTCTTCACAGGTCATTTTCACGCTAACTACTTGGCTTGAAGGCATCGCAGAACATCCTCTTCTCGCAAACCCCAAGACGCCAGCCTCGTGGATCCAATGTGAGGTATAGTGAAGATGTCACGGAAAGCGCAGAGCATTATTCCAGAGCAAGACGAGCGATATTCGTCAAAGTCACTGATGTAGGAACGATTTTCAGTGTAACTAGAATCAATCAGGCTTTCTGCGCCGTCATGTTTTAGGGCAATGTCATTGATTCCATCTGCATATATCTAATAGGTCTAAAAGTGTATAGACTATTTCGAGAGGGATCTAGCAAGCATGTTGCCGTCCTAATAGAACTTCCCGTTTATTCCAAACACTTCAAGCATAGATACTTGAACGCGTTGTATGAAGGCTATTGCATAGCATTGGTGATACGTATCTTCAGTCCAGAGTCCCCATAGCCATTGGGTATAAGAGAGCATCACATCAAAAGATAACACGTTCCTCAACTTAGAGAGAGAGAGCAAGAGTTCAGGTAACAATATCGCCAGTCATCTCACCATACAGCCTCGCGAGACCGGGCTTATCATCGTTGACCACCTTGACGACAAGTACGATATATACATGGGTCTTCAAATTGCTCAATTTAGCTGGCGGATGGCTCACCCTTTCTTTCGTG